GATTTCATGTAAAAGGTAATTTAAGAATACTTTTTTTTTTTAAAGATTGGGAACATTTTCTTAAGAAGGATACAAAATGTTCTAATCATAAAGGAAAAGAACAGTAAATCGCTCTACAATAAAATTAACTTCTCAACAAAAAGCAGCAAGCCACTCTTCACAAGAAGAGAAGGGAAAGCCAAGAGACAGAATGGGAGATGTCTGCAGTATAGAAAACTGACAAAGAACTCAAATCCAGAATATAGAAATATAAATGAGAAAAAGATAACCAAATAGAAAAATGGGCAAGAAACTTAATAGGCCCTTCAGAAAGAGGAACAGCTGAAAAACTCACTTAAAAGCTTCCAATCTCAGGAATGAGAGCAATGTGAATTAAAACAGTAAATTAAAGACTACCTGTTCTCCTGCCCCTCTGAGCAAGCAGGATGCCAAGGCAGGAACTGATAATATTCAAAACTGGTTAAAGGTTACCAGATGGGCGTTCCTATATATGACTGGCCAGATTACCAATTGGTAAAAAAAAAAACTTTCTGGACATATTTTTGACATGATATATCATGAGTCTTAAATATTTCCATAAACTCTGATGTAGTGATTCCATTTTTAAAGTCTCTAGCCTAAGAAAATAATATATGATTACAAAGATTCATATACAAAGATTATTACAACACTCAGAAGAAACCAAATCATTGTCCAACAGGAGAGAAGTTATATAAATTATATTAATTATTATTAGCCTTTAAAAAGGATACTTTTAAAGAAATATTTTGAATAGTGTATATTTATATATCTATGTATATATAATAATTAACATAAATAAGTAGGATAATGACCACAACTGGAAATAAAAATACTCTCTATATAATTTCCAATTAGGTAATATATCATTCCTCTTTGTATGTACACACATACTAACTGAACCCCACAGCTAAGAGGCTTACATTATACACATAATTTTGTTTCTTATTACCAAGTGTTGGAGGATAAGATGTGACAGGCGGATGGAGTCCTGCTCCTGATCCCGGGGCTGGATTTCCGGCACTTCCTTGGGATACACTGCTGTGGGGATCATTGGCAGTTGTTGCATTGTTACTAGTGCAGGAAGTTCCACCTCCAGTATCGGAATCTTCAATATTGCCACCACTGTTACATCCAGCTCCACAACCTTTCCTTAACCTAGAACAAATACCAGAGTAAAACGCATTATTCAAGGTCACTTCAAGATAGGTATTTTATTCTTTTTCCGGCTATTTTGAATGTATGATAATACTAATGTGCACCTTTGAAAGTCTTTATGGTACAATCAATATTAGAAACAAAAAAGTGTTATGTTTTAATATCTTACTCTTACATTCACTGCCTCGATACTTCCCAACTGATCTAAATATTCTATCATCTTTCCTACACCAACCATAATAAAGAACTGCACATAACACAGTACCATAAAGATCACAGCTGGAAACAGAATTCTTGCCAGTGTCTATTCAGTGCCTCTAAAGTTTACAGCACCTGTAAATCTAATTTATTTAAATTAAACCTAATTTATGTTGTAGCACACCTGAAGGGAGCTGCTATAATAATTTTTCCTTTTCCCTTTTTTTTAAAACTAATGTGTACGGTGACCAACTGTCCTGGTTTGCCCACAACTGTCTTGGTTTAAGCACTGAAAATCCTACATCGCAGGAAACTCCTCAGTCCTGGGCACACAAAGCAATATCCAACATTACACGTATTTTTTGAAAAAAAATTTTTTGAACACTATCCTGGTTTGTGTTCTTCCATTTTAATAGGACTGATGTTAAAATGGTAAAACTTTACTTTTTAATGTTGGGTATTCCTAGAAGAATTTAAAAACACCTATTTGAGTGTTTGTTGCTCTAATCCCAGATCCTGTTTTTCTTAAGCTCTGATTTAAGGATCTGAACAACAATTCTGAAGAAATTGAAAATAATATTCTGTGATTTTTTTCTTCACCAGCCACCAATGGTGGTTGCTGTTCCTACACCATACATTGTAATTTACTAGACAAAAAGGCAGAGAAAAAGTCATGTTCATTCCTGAAGACACTACAGATTTGAGATTGGAGTGATGACTGGATTATTAAAATGGCAGTAGTATCTGCATCGCATAACCAGGAGTTTTCAATGTACAGAGTGCTCCCCCTACTGCTGGAACAAAATATAATAGAAGAAAGTAATCAATTTGCACAAGTTTCTCATGTTTTTCTCTGTTTCCCTGTTTGCTGACTCACACATTCTAATAGTGGCGATATGCTGCAACAGAAAGTCAAAGAAAATAAGAGAACTATTCAAGACTTTACTAAATGCTAAAGTGATGATTCTTGACCAGATTTGTACATTAGATATACCTAATAAGAGCTGGAAGATATAAATGCTCAGGCTCTATTTCCTGAAGTTCAGATATAACAGATTCATATTGTGCCATGGCATCTGTATTTTTTCTACAAACTTTCCAGGTGATGGTAATGCACACTGCCTAAAAGGTCAGGATATTCCATTGAAAAATGCAACCCAAAGACTCACCTGTACCAGGTTGACACTATGAAATTTCTGATATTTCCCAAACTGATAGGTCCCCCAAGAATTTCTTTAAGCTGCTCATGGCTGTCAGAATAAGAAGTTGTCAGGGGTGAAACAAAAATCGGGTAGCCAATAGGTTGATCACAAGATGAGTTGATCATGTTTCTCAGAGCTTGCTTTGCATTTTGGATGCTACCTCTCTCTGGGTTACGGTTACGTAGGAAAACAAGCTCCTGCTGCTGCCCTGCCCAGAGACCTCGGACACATTCCTTATTCACCTAAAAACCAGAACACATGGGGATTAGGTCAAGGGGCCAAGAATGAAATTCATATAAACAGAAGAGCAGAAATGGGAGGGGTACGAAAGACATCATGAAAACCAGCTGTGAAAAGCAGGAAAAGTGGGTCACATTTGAATAGAAGTTAACCCATTTTCCATTGTCGTTAGCGGGCTGCTAAATAATAAGCACCTACAGAGTCCTTCCCTCTGCTCTGTCTTCTAAAATTATCAAGTAAAATGTAGTCCATTTAGTTTTCCAATTTATTGAAGCACTGAATTTTGTAACTGAGATAATATTTTTGATAAAAATTATAGCTAACAAATATTTAGAGTTGACAGGATGTTTGTGACCTCGTGGCTAATTAAATGAAATAAATCATTACAAACTATCAAAAATAAAATTTCAGAGTTAAGCTTCCTGAAGTCCTGAGATGTTTTAAAAACAAGCAAATAAAAAAAAGGGAAATATTAGAGTGAACCATTTACTGATCACTATTATGGTATTTTGCAGCCTAGGAATCACATCGTATTAGCAACATAGAGCGGATGTCTTAAAAGATTCCACCTAAATAGCATATATAATAAATAAAGACTGTCCAGACAGAAATAAGCAAAAATGTTAAGGCTCTATGGATCATGAGAAAATTTGAGAGGACAGACTAAATTACTGACACAATAAGTTAAATTAAGTGCTCATAAACAATATATTTTTTCTGTGAAGGAGTTTCAACTACTTTTTAAAAGTCTGTATAGGTTATCTTAAGTTCCAATTTTTTGTGCCTCAAAAACTTACTTTAATGACCCTGAAGCTAAGGTAGCGTCTGTTGAGCATGATGATTTTGTATTCATTGGTGCCATCATCCATGACGTGCCGCAAAGCAAGCAAGGAGGGAGAGTTGGCAAGAACTGCACTCCGCCACGCAGGGTCTCCTTCATGGGCTATTACCAGGTTTTTTTCATGAGATACAATGGCTTCATAGAGCACGGTAGGGTCATCGTACTCATCTGGAGAAGTGAAATGATCCTATATACAAAAATAAAAAGTATATCTTTTTCAGGAAAAGAAGAGAATGACTTCTAGGATAATAAAAAAATGTCTATAATTACTAAATCAGCTGCGAAATGAAAATTCTTAAAAACTGAATTATACAAATATTTATCAGCACATGTTAATATTATTAGAGATATATTATACAAAGAATACTCTAAAAATGTGTTGAAGTCCTGGCATTACCATTTACTAATTTTCTAAACCGAGGAAACAGCTAATAAGCCTCTTTGAGCTTCGGTTTTGATATTTGTGAGTGCTGGTATTATCTCTCTAACCTACTTGACAAGGTTGTTGTAAAAGTTAGATAAAATAGTGTAATCGAGAATTTTATACAGTATGAAACATTCACATGTACGGTGAATACTTTCATTATTCTCTCTAACCTCCAGACTTGCACATGCATCCTTGTGGATGCTGCCTTCTTGCTCTCACTCATTTCGCCTTCAGATAGTATACACTCCCATCATTTGGCCTGAGTACAAATGAGTTACTTTACCTGCATATAAAAACTTATCAACCTCTCAATTATAATTAGGATAAAGCAGCCAATATAGTGTTTCCTTAGTAACACACCACTTCAGAAATTCAGGTTTGTGTTATGGTTATTTGGGTCATGTCCCGTATCCCATGTTAATTTCTAGGTTTCTGAATAAGATACATTCCATATACTTTGTTTCATCCATACTAAATGACACAGCACACAGTAGATAAGTAGATATTAAATACCTACTTATCAAATGAATGAGTAGTTATTAAGAACAATAGGTTTTTCAGGGAAGACTTTACTAGCTTCTTTAAGATTATGACTCTTAATCTGTCCTCAAAGCTCATAGCTCTGAGCCATATCTTAACTAGATGAGAGGAGGATAAAATAAAATATTAGATCATTCCAGAGATGTGACTTCAGGTGAAAAGTACCTGGTTAAAAAAACCCCACAATTTTAGAGAGACCTTTCATGTAGTTTAAATGTTCCTTAACTGATATCAGTAAGATAATCCTTTATCAGAAAAAAATATATATGAAAATATGAAAAAACAACTTAAATGAGGAAAACAAAGAAAATATATGAAAACTGGAAATATTTGTTTAGCAAAAATTTAGAGGATAGGGTGGGACTGAAGAATTTATAAAGTAGTATAAAAGTAATGAGTTGTATTTTTAGCTGTCTGGTAATGGAATCTTTTTTTTTTTTTTTTTAATCAAGTCTGAGGTGTGATTTACATACAGTAAATTACACCCATTTTATACGCAACCACTGCTACCGTCTGGTATGGAACATGTCCATCACCCCAGAAAGTTCCTTCCCATCTTCTGGCATTCAACCTATGTGCCAAGCAACCACTGATCTGCTGTCTCTGAAGATTAGTTTGGCTTGTTTTAAATTATATATATGTAAAATCATACAATAGATAATCTTTATGTGTCTGACTTCTCTTACTCTGCAAAATGTTTGAGGTCATTCATGTTGTAGCATCTGACAGTAGTTCATTTCTTTTTAGTGTTCTGTAATACTCTATCATGTGGCTAATACCATAACTTGGATGTTCAACCACTGATGGGCATTTGAGTTATTTCCAGTTTGGAGCTATTGTGAGTAAAATTGCTACGTGCACTTGTAAGTCTTTGTGTGGACATACATTTTCATTCTTCTGAGTAAATATCTAGGAATGAAATTGCTGGGTCATGTGGCAAGTATTTACTAATCCTTTTAATATATTAGATTTTCATGAGAATACTACATATGAACTTTGGAGATGACCGGTACTAATTTACACGTTTATCTTTTCCTGGTCTGAGTGTCCCTTAGGGGCAAACCAACGTCTGGCTCAAGGTAACACTCAATAAATGGCTGTTGCTTGTTATTTCACAGGTCAATCTCTACCCTCCTGTATCAAAACTATGAAACTTCTCCAGGTTGCATTTGAATTCTCTATTTCCTCCCCTCCTCATGCCCTCCGTGGCTCCCAGGTTCCCGATTCCACCTCCTTATCCTCCCTGTTTGTCACTGTTGTTGTCAGTCATGGCAGAGTGTGTGCTGGACCTGATTATAAGGTAGAGAGCCACTGTCACAGGCAATAATGCCACAACAAAAGAAACATGTAAGGAAATGGACGTGGCAGCAACAGGCCAAGAGCACTTGTAGGGAGAAACTCGATGGAGAACCCTAAGGTCTCAGAGGCTTTGGACCTATGCTTCAGTTTCTTCTCTGCCACATGAAGATGAAATATCTATCGCAAGGTTTAGAATCAACTGAAGATGTCTGTCAGTAACTGTTAGATAAATATGCTACATGAAAGAGACTATTTCTTACATAGCAGATATAACTGGTACCTTTTGAGATCTTCTCAAGTTTTAAAAATATTTTAACCTGAAATCATTACCTTTTTCTTTTAAATACACTGAATTTTGTCTCAAAACTCTAAAGCTAGTCTGAGATGGACAATTCTATTTGTTCCCCAATATACATTTTCCCTATAATCTTCAAAATAGTATTCCATTTTTTCACAGAGATTTTCATATATCTCTTATTAGTAATGCTCCTAAATAATATGGAACATTAACTTCATTCTAACATTTTTGATCATAGTAAAATCACTTGAAAAGTAATTCACATTTTATTTGAGGAAAAGATAGATTCAATCAGATTTGCGCACAGCAGATACATTTTAATGAGTCTTATCATATGGTCTCTATCATCGGATCTGATTACTGTTAAGTGGAATGATTATGCCACTATATCTTGTGATGAGAACTTTTAAGCTCTACTTTCAGCAACTTTCAAATATGCAATACAGTGTTATTAACTATAGTCATGATATGATATGCCAGCATATGCCAGCATGGCAAGTCTTCGAATAACGTTGATTAGTTATGTTCATGAGAAAAAAAAAATCCCGGCCGGGGCCTCCATCCGTGTGGAGTCTGCACATTCTCCCCATGTGTGTGGGTTTTCTCTGGGTACCCCAGTTGCCTCCCATGTCCCAAAGATGTGTACATGAGGTGAACTGGTGTGTCTAAATTGCCCCATTCTGAGCGGGTGTGGGTGTGAGTGCTCCCTGCGATGGAATGGCATCCTGTTCAGGGTTGGTTCCCACCTTGATGCCTGAGCTGCCAGGAGAAAAAACGTAACCTGGAATAATTACGTTGGAAAATAATCTTGTTTTTATTCATTAATAGAGTGTTTGAGGATTTTATTTGTAAGTCTGGTGATGTTTTTGTGACCAAAAATATATCGTAGGAACTTAACTCTTGTTTATATCAATTAGCCTATGCTAAAACTAGTTCAGTTATACTTTGTTTCAAGTCACAGTTTCAAATCAGAATATTTCTTCAAAAGTTCCTAAGAAACATAATTTGAAAGTCAAGTGAAGAAGTACGATTAAACAACAGTAAGGCATTAGAAATCCCCGCTTCTTACCTGATGAAGTTTAATGGACATACGGACTCCAGGGACGACTACTTTTCTCAGCAATTCCATGTCAGCAAAGATCCATTCATCGCGAATTGAGGAAATACGGAAATCTCCCTTAAACAGGGCATGCAGTCCATAGAGGAATGACTCTAAATTACTGTTAAGATTGGAGACAAAAATTTACATACTTTGACAAAAGTTTTCCATTACATTGATTCTTACATCTGTTTATACATCACTATCATCTGGGAGGTTTTAAAAACAGAGACCAAGAACTAAGGTCAGCAGCCCCGAATCAGAATTACAAGGATAAGTCCTTTTGACCTGAGAACCCTCTTTATAAACCACTATGATAGTGAGTCCATGAAAATAAACAACAGGCAGAGTCTGTAATTTAAAAGAAATTAAGGAAGGCCTAAGGGAAAACATGCAGTAATCACAAAAGAAATTTAAAATATATGGTATTTCTTAATTCTAATTCATTTGGATGCATATGTCAAGAAATCCAGTTTGTATTTAGAGTTCCAAAATCTAATATACAACTATATTAAAAGTATAAATGCTCTGGACAAAAACTGCAAGTAAATAATGGAAACATAAAAAAGAGGGATGAGTTGTTAGGAAAATAGATGTATATAAGGAGGAGACCAAACATTATAATTATTTTTCAAAATGTCTCAAATCTATTAAGTTCTCGTTATCAAGAGTTGCCCACACATGTCAATCTTAAAAGCCGTTTCTGTTAACCACTTAGTAGAACTCAACTATGTTGAGTAAAAAGATCTATACAACATCTGAAGAGACTTTTGCAATAAATTAGCATAGAATACCTCCATGAAAAACTATTTCAAATTTTTCAGATTTAGGTTATACAGCTTCCCACACTCTCTTCCTAAACACAGAAATGTCTTCCTTACCTGGACATATGGTGGGATGCAGTCCCCAAAGCTCTCCGCCCCAGAACACATAATCCATAACAAAGAGTCACCAGGGAGGAATCTTTGTCTACATCCAGTGGCTTTAAAAAAAAACCATGGTGACTATAGTTAATAACACTGTATTGCATATTTGAAAGTTGCTGAGAGTAGAGCTTAAAAGTTCTCATCACAAGAAAAAAAAATGTGTAACTATGTGGTGACGAAGTTAACTAGCTTTATTGTGGTAACCATTTTACAATATATACAAATATTGAATCATTATGTTGTATACCTGAATATAATGTTATATGTCAATTATACCTCAAAAAACAATAAAAAAACACATTAATAATCAGAAAAGTACATAAGTATTTAACAAATCAGAATATATTTAATAAATCAGAGAGGATAAGGAACTCAACTAGCACATAATTTCTATCTCTTCAAATAAAAGTTCTAATAAAAATAAACTTAAAACAAAACAGTATAAAATGAAGTATCAGTGTATATGAGGAGGTTCTTTGGAATCTTTAAATAAAATCTAATACTTTATAACATTAGGACATAATAATAAAGAACTGGATGAAGAATATTAAGATCTTAGCTAAACATCTCAGAATACTTGCCAATATACATCATTACTAATCTTGCCCTCTTCTGAGAACATAACAGTCTATCTAGTAATTAGTTATTTCTGGACTTACTCTGGAAAACAGGCTATTAAATAACAGCGGCGTTAACCTTAATCTGCATTAATGACCATAATCACAATAAAAAAATTAAATTAATATCTGTAGAATACTGCTTCCCCTCAATTTTTTAATTTTTTAACTGTATACCTTGATTATTGATTGTTATACACAAATATTTCATATATAATAGCTATTTCATAATAGCAATTACACATATGTGTATATATACATACATATATAAACAAAACGCTATATACATTATACATTATACAATACTGAAAAAAAATCTTGGTAGCATCTCAATTACGGAGAAACGACCTAGGACAATGGTTCTCAAAGTATAGTCCTAGGATGCAACATCAGCATCACCTGGGAACTTATTAGAAATGCAAATTCTTGAGCCACTTCAGACCTATGAGATCAAATTCTGAAGGTATGGCCCAGCAATCACACTCTGGGTGATTCTAATGTATGCAAATATGGAAAAATCATAGATATAGGCTAGTGAGTTTATTCTAAATTTGCCAGTGGTATATATTTTTGGCTTTATAAACCATTAACTTATAAACAAGGCAAGCTAAGATAATGACTTAATATTAATTGGTTAATTTAATTACCATTATTGTGTAATTTAGTTAATAATAGTAACTATGAGATACTCTAGTTGCTTGTCAATTAGAGTGGTTTGAAAGATATATTATCTCTTACAGCACATATACTAGTTTCATCTAGCAGGCTCTTTGAAGGAATTTTGAGCCTAGTTACAAATCAGGTAGAAATAAAGAATTTGAGAGCACTTGTTTTAAGAAATAGCAAAGAAATCTATAAAAGAGAGGGGGCATGTACAGACTTAAAGTTATATAAACAAAATAATATTAAAGGTGATTATAATAGGTGATAAAATTATGAATGATTTTCTTTCTTTTTTTTCTGTCTCCCTCCCTCCTCAACCTGGCTAACTTTCTATGCTGACAATGTATTTTTTTGTGATGAGAAAAATTTTTTTTTTCAATTTAGCTTTTCTAGCTTTTACGTCTGGCCAAGATAGAGTAACGAAGACCAGATTTACCCTTGTACCTGAAACAACCAAAGACTTGGACAGAATATATGAAACAATGGTTTCAAGATACTGGACACTAATTCCTGAAACATAAAAAACAAAAGAGGTAGCAGCCCTGCAAGAGTTTCTAGGCCACAGCACAACGAAGGAGAACATAGGTGGAGCTTAGAGGTCTCCATGTTGAGGAGCTAGCTGGGAGTCTGGGGAGGTCAAGTTGGCCAGAGTTTGAAGGGTAATGTGCCAAGGAAGAGAGAGCAAGCTCTGAAGGTGTGCAGAGGATCCTTCTTGAGTCATCAGCAGACTACTGATCAGCACATACAGCAAGAACCCAAAGCTGAGAAAAAAAACCATCAGAAAGGAACAGAAAGGAACAGTGGAACTCTTGTGATTGGCTAGCTTACTCAGAATAGTACTGTCCCAGTAATGAGGAAAAAAGCTCCAGACTAAAGGCCACTGTAGTCCCTCCTAAGAAAGCTTAAAAGCCAGACCTAAAAGGATCAAACTGTCCCCAAAGAATTTGTGTCACAGCGTAAAGTTCAGGAATATTTATAGGAATACAAAAATATCCAGAATCCATCAAGGTAAAATTCATAAAGTCTAGCATCCAATCAAAAACTGTCAGACATGCAAAGTGGCAGGACAAAATGACCCATAACTGAAGAATAATCAATTAATCACTCAATCAAAACTGACTCAGAATTGACACAAATGTTAGAATTAGTCAACAAGATTAAAAAAGTTATTATAACTGTATTCTATAAGTTCAAAAAGATAGAGAAATGACAACATACTAAGTAGAAACATAGAAGATTTCTCTAAAAGATATAAATTAAACCTTAAGAAATAGAAAAATGCAATATCTGAGATTAAAAAAAATACACTGGATGGGATTAATGGCATATAAAAAAATGAAGAAGAAAAAATAAAGGATGAAAGAAAATGTAGCAACAGAAACTATGCAAAATTAAAAACAGAGTCAAGAGACTGAAAAAACTCTCAGTGAGCTATAGGACAACATAAGGCAGCCTACTATAAATGTCCCCAAAAGAGGAAAGAGAGGATAGAAAAAAATGTTTGAAAAAATAATGGCTGAAATTTCCAAATCTGATAAAAACTATATACCTAAGACTAAGGCAGGTGCTACAACTAAAGACAGTCAGTATGTACATCTCAGACCATGATAAAGGCGCTAGTTGACAAGGTGGCTCACTCTGCTCCATGGAACAGAATAATCCTCTACACAGGATGCTGGTGGTTCAACTACACGAGACTTTTGCTTGGAAAGCAGCAGTGGTGGTAGGCATCAGCTTTTGGAACCACAGGCCTTGGTAAAGTCTATAACTCGCCTTACTTTTAGGATAAGACAAGTTATCCTGACAGCTGAATTACAATCACTCAAGGTGATAACAGATTTTGGGTCCTCAGCCTAGACCTACAGAATTAAAATCTCTCAGGCCCAAGAATCTGCATTTTTACACATTCCTAGCTCATTTTTATCCATGTTAACATATGAAAGTCAATAATCTAGATGAACATTGCCCAATATGGGAGCCACTTGCCCACTAGTCCTAAAATTAAATCAATGAAAATTAACTAAAATTTAAAATTCAGTTCCTTAATCATACTGGCCCCATTTCAAGTGTTTCTGTTTAACAACAGCCACATGTTATGGGTTACTAACTACCATACTGGAACAGCACAGAACATTTCCATCATCACAGAAAATTCTTTTAGACAGCACTGGCCTAGACTTCGAAATGGAGACAAAGATATTAAATTATCCTGAAGTCTGGTGGGGGGAAGTGAGGGGAGAACGCTCCAAAATGCATTCTTTAAGAAGGTGCTACATATAATCTGTAACCTGAATTTGTGTGTGCGTGTATGTGTGTATGTGCGTGCGCATGGGGTGGAGGGCATGCTAACTGAAGAGTGAGATTTTTGACACTGCAAATGAAAAAATGAGGGAGGCCACTTTCTTGGTTTCAGTTGGTTTGGCCTAATCATAATAAACCTGAGAGATTCTCTTACCCAGATGGTCAGAAAGAGGAAGGTCTGGAAAAACCGACTTCATAATAACAGACATATTCTTTCCATCTTTGGAAAAACAAATTCAAAGAGTTATATTACAAAGAGTTATAAACGAAATAAACAAATTCTACCTTTGCTCTTCGGGAAGAGCAATATTCTATCCAATTGAGGTAAATCACACAGAAACTCTCCCTGGATATGCCTGCTAGTCGATGGTCATAGTCTTCATCAATGTTTGGATTAAATGTTGGATCCACATCAACATAATTTCGATCTGCACACAGGCGTAGTCCTTCCTGCATTGTCTCATTAGCTAGCCACTCCTCTAGCTTAGAAGAGGTCGTAACATAATAAATGATACCCTAATAAGAAAAAGATTAAAAAAAAAATTCAGGCTAAATCACAATGTGAATTAACTCCAATTCCCCAGTAAATAAATTCCAGTTGTTTATACTGATAGTACGACTCAAAAACATTATTCTAGCTCAATATTGTAAATATACATTTTAAGAATGCTATAATAACATACCTCAGGCCTACCTGGATGAAAAAAACATTTAATACTTCTAAACTCAGAACCATAAATTCAGCAAGGCAACTTCAAAACCAATTCTGGTCTATTGATTTTAGAGCTTTTGAATTTAGGATCTTTTAAGAGAGCCTTTATTGTGCTAAGTTTATTTTGAGAAATTTCTCATAGAAAGCTATTAAATCATCCTGTGATCCTAGGTCAAGTTACAGAAATATAATAATAAAGCAACAGAAATATACATATTTAGAGACAGAAAACGCCACACACAAACAAGTGCACACACGTGTAAAATATGTTGTGAAATCAGTCTCTAGCTTTCTGAGGCTGGGTTTAACCAAACATTAAATAGAAGACTCAAGGTTCACCCCAATCAGCACAAACAAGGTAGTACAAAGAGGTAACAACATAAGATATGAAAAATTACAAGATGGTCATTAAAATTTAACACACATTTTCCTCTTGAAAATACTGGCTTTGCCTGTAAGCCCCCAAATCATAACCATGCTGCATTTCTGTAAAATCTTTTGCAAAAATAGAAGACCTATGCAGTAAAGAACTAATCTCACTAAAGAGAAGTCTCTGCTCTTGGGCCCTCGAATCTCTTGGGGTGTCCTGCCTGATAACAGAGCTTTTGTTCACCTGGAGGCTTAGAGCCATGATCTCTAAAGAGCTGGAGACTAAAGCTGACTATGTGGGTGGTGAATCACATCTAACTGACTTCATTCCAAAAAAAACTCTCCACACTGAGGTTCAGGGGAGCTCCCCTGATTGGCAACATTCCATGAATATTGTCACACACTGTTGCTGGGAGAAACAACTCCACTGGGAGAGGACAACTGGAAGCTCATTTCTTGTGTCTCTGGACCCTGTCGAAAATGCCTGTTCCCTTAGCTGATTTTAATTTGTTTCCTTTCACCATATTAAATCCTAACTGTAAATGTAATGGCTTTGCTGAGTTCTGTGACTTCTTTTAGCAAATTACTGAACCTGAGGGTGACCTTGAGACCCTGAAATTGTAGTTGACTGTCACAAGTGAGGGTGGTTTTGGGACCTCCCGAATCTTACAATACTTTTATTTAGTTTGTCTAAAGCAGTGAAAAGCAGTGGTAAACAGAAAGAGCTCAGTCAGACAAGCCTCAGTTTTAAAAATCCTTAACTCAACTTGCTAGTTAGAAGGCTTTGGGCAAGTACACTTCTGATTCTTAACTTGTTTATCTGTAATATTCCTTTAGAAAATTAGGTAAGATGCACGTTTGTGTATGTATGCATGCATGTGTAAATTCCTTAGCACTGTGCCTACAACATATGAGTTACAAATAGCAGCTATTAATATTAATGAACAAATGGAATAAGTTTCACTAAAGAATGAAACAGCAAGACCTTTGTAGATAAAACTATATTGGAAACTAGAGAATTTAAATCACTACACACAAGCAAAGCACATGTTAAAAAAAAAGTCTCTTCTCTATGGAGAGCCTCTGATTATTAGATCTAAATAGACATACACCCTTACCTTAACATAGTAAGTGGTGAGTACTTTCCGAAGATCAAAGACTTGAAGCATAGAAGCAGCACTATTGTCAGTGATGCTATAGCCCTCCAGAATATACTTGGTGACTATGACTTCCCAAGCTAGCCAGCGCTGGCCAAACGCAGCGTTAAATGAAAGCACATGGGGAATGTGGCCAGGTTCACAACAGCAAAACCCTTCATCCTCCTCAACACCTTCAGTGATGGCCTCCACTTCTCGCTGTTGACAGTAAGTTCCTTAAAGAGAGAGAGAGAGAGACGCCACTTACAAAGGGGGGAGAAACAAAGTGGAAAAATAAATGCTTTAGAGTCACAAGAAATGTAGAAAAAAGATACACATTATAGCATATGGAAGTATGTGACTGATTTGCCTTAGAATGCTCACTAACAAACTGCGGCAAGCTCCAGAAACCAAACATATTGTGCGTTCATCCCCTGCAGAAATGCAGTGTGCATTACTGCATTCAAGGTTCTAAGAATCTCTTTAATTTTGATTTATCAATTTCCAAACTTTTCAAATTTGGCTTTGCAACTGCATTCATATCAAATGAAGACCAAATGAGTAAAGGTACATTTCATGTAGGTTTGAGTTAATTCTGAAAAAGAGTGGAATGAAAAATGAATTGTCCCAGGGCACCCAATAGACATGCAAAACTCAAAGAGAATCTGAGCTCTGCTTACCAGTATCATGTCAGTGCTGCCAGCAGATATATTACATACATCCTGCTTATATGGCTATATAACCTGGAATAGTCCATTATAATTTAATATTAAATACATAATTACATTTTTTTCTGTTGCCAATTCCAACAATAATTGGATAAGATTATATAATTGGCATTTGAGGTTTATGTGATGATAACGTTTCAAATAGATATGAACTCTGATTACTCTGCACTAGCAAACAATTCTTTGAAGTTATATTCTTTTATGCAAGATACTTATCAAACAGGCATTCTTTGCATTAGTGTTACTGAAGTAAAAATACAATATCAGATTAAATATAGAATTAGACCCATGGCAATCTAGAGCTAGCAAAATATCATCAATCACATTAATGTTAATTTTTATTTTGTTCTGTAGTCTTGCTTCCATTTAATTTGTAAATTCTCTATATTACGTAAGGACTATGAAGTGATTACACTTAATTTCATAAAGGCACATATTAAAGTTAATTATAATAAAAATAATTTAAGTGGGACTATACATTTTTTTTTCCTTTAAAGAGAATATATACACCATCCATGTTTAAAACATACTGCTTTGAGAGAAAAAGATGCCACAAAACCTAGCCCCACTTTGTGATGGTGGTGGCATAATGAAAGATAAGGCTGAGGAGGCAAGCTTGGCCAGGCTAATGATCTGGACTGGTTAGTACTCCAGAACCCTCAACAATTCTATTATTTCATTTTCTAGTTTAATTACATTTCCAAAACAATGTTACAGTGGTGACAAGAAAAATCCTGTCTTGAACCTAACATTAATAGGAATGCCTGCTGTGGTTGACAGTTACACATGATACTAACTATATATATATACACAGACATTTTTTCCCCCAGAATAAAGATGTATGTAATCTTATAAAGTACTTTTCAAAGCAGTAATGGAAATGAAATTTAATCAAATGTCTTCTGGAATCTTTTGAGAGAATCATACTTTATTGTCTTTCTCCTGTGACCTATTAAAAGAAGATGAAGTCTCTTAATTTGATTCTTCTCAGTACTTAATTTCAAAAATGGAAAAATGGTTAAATTAGTGAGGGGTACTTTAAAAAAGCAGTGCTGGTTTTTGCTTACTTTGGGTTCTAAGGATTTCTGCATCTATTGTCATAAGTGAATTAAACTAGTTACTTTTTGGTCAGCTTAGTCATATTTCGACATCGATATTACACTGGTTTTGTAAAAAGCCTTGAGAAATTTTCCTTCTTTATCCATGTGCTAGAACAGAGTAGAGAGGGCAGAAGAATTATTCAATTTCTAGAAGAAACTTTATGAGCCTGGGTTTTTTAAACTGTAGCATGACATTGGATCTATTCCTCAGGTTTTATAGTTTATTCCTTCATTTTATTCATTTTGTCTTCTTTCTGAGAAGTCAGTCAAAGGTTTTTAAGTGAAGGAAATAACATAATGAGAGCTATATTTTGTGTAGATCATTTTGTTAGGAGTATACAGACAAGAGATGTGGCAAGAGGGAACTGGGAGGTTTTGACACTTAGGACAAAATGAGGTCCCTGTTCAGAGTAGTAGAATACAGTGAGTAGGGCAACTGCATTAATGCAGGATACTTTTACTCCACCAAACAAACACCATAAATATTTTCTACCACAACATACCCTAGTAATACATTTTGCTTCAAAACTGAAGTCAACAATAAGCACAGGAATTGATATTAATAACTGAAAAAAGAATTTGAGACTTGGAAAGGGATTAAAGAATAAATCTATGAGGATCTATTGACAATTAGTTACATCTTTTGGGCACTTCATAGTGAATACGACTGGTAAAAATAAATAAGCAAAACTAACAATTATGAAAACTAGACATGTTAAAATTAATTTGAGTGAAAACTGAAAGAAATCCAAGTAGCATAAAATTTTGACCTATAAAGTTGACTTGGAAAACTGTAGTTGGTAGAAGTAACATTTACAATTAGAAAAAGTTAACACGGTAGAAGCCGTAATCATAAAATTTTGATAGACAAAAAACTAATTGATAACTCTTTGACATAAACTTAAATGGAAAAGAATCTTGAGATTATCAGCAAAGTAAAAATGAAAATGAAATAAATATGAAGGGGTTTAACCAAGACCTACTGGAAACTGATCAAAAAAATTGTTTAAATATCACTTGAAATTCAGCATCCACTACAAGAGACAATAAGATCAAAGGAATTAAACTGGTTTAATGGCATATACCCCAGAAAATACATCAAAATGCTGAGCAGATCCAAATGTCTGCCTGACAAAATACTGACATTCTTGATTAATATTTTTAGGAATAGGAGGTAGACAAGACAGAGGCTAACACTGTGACAGAAAGAAAATAACCAATGATCAAGAAAACATTTGAGCAAGAGTATAATCATACCTCATGAGAGTTCTGGAATAAAGAGAAAAAGAGAAAAAGCTATGTACTTACATTATTTACTCACTCTACAAAATTAACTAATTATGTATTATATGCTAACTGCTGTGGTAGGTACTGGATAAACAATGATGAACGAAGTAGATATGATTCCTGCCCTGGAGAAGCTTATAATATACAGCAAAGATATACAAAATAGCCCTTGGGCCAAACCCAAGCCAAAGGTGGTTTTTACATTTTTTAAAGGGTTGTTTAAAAGAAAAGTCAAAGAAGAATATGCAACAGTGAATGTGCATAGGCCCCAAAGTCTACACTATTTACTATCTGGCTCTTTACAAAAAAGTTTTCCAACTCCCAGGCTATAAAATAAACTTTAAACAAATAAACACAAATAAATATAATATTACAACTATGCTAAGCACTAAGGTGGTAAAAACAGAGTATATGAGAGAGAATCATGTTGGACAGGCTTCTCTGAGAGACTGACATTTAGACTAATACTTAAAGATAATTAAGGAATTAGCCAGATGGAAGATCGGTGGAAGGAAGGAAGATGGTTGGTACTTCCTAGGCAAGGAGAAGGGCAATAAGGGGTCCTTAATAACGAATTTAGCACAGCTAAGGCTCTATAAGGAAGGCTAGAGCAAGACTGAGTGAGGAGAATGGTATAAACCGAGGCTGGAGAAACTGGCAGAGGCCAGAGCATGTGGTGTTGCATGTGGTGGGCATGTCAAGGAGTTTGAATTTTATTTTAAATGCAAGAGGAAGCTACTGAAAAATCTGAGCATGGAAGGGACATTGATCAAATCTGCCTTAAAAAAATCACTATAACTGAGTGAAGAATTACAGGTACCCCTTGTTATCCAAATCCAGCACAAGTTCAGATAGTAAGAGGTATTGTGTTCTCAAACTGGTTTGATTTGAATTTTATTTGGCAAATGAGAGTCTGGATGGCAAAGGACTTAGCCAAAATTCTATTTCATTTTTTATTTTATTTTTATTTTTCAATTACAACTGACATTCAATATTTAAAATTTTATTTGAATCTACTTGGTACCAGAGAAAGTTGAGAGAGTGAAAATTTGGATCAATTTTTGATTTGGAGAATATCAACATGGTGGAATGAACAGATAATAAGAAGGACCCCTTCCAATTCAAACAACAGATAAAATAGCCTCCCCATACTCATCTGTATAAATAAAGTTAAATTAAAATTAAAAAAGCAAAGGTGAAATCTTCAGGTGCCAACAATTTAAAAAGAAGTTCAAGTCATAGCAGTGGTTAAGTGTAGTGGTGAGAGGATGCTGACTTTTGGATGAGTCTAATTGGATTAATTTTGAACAGTAATGGGCAAGACTTTAAAAAAGATAGAATTAAGGTCCTGTGCTCCTGATGGAGAAACAGAAAGAAACCATAAGACAAGAAGAGGCCATTCTGGGAAAGTGGCGGGGGCAGGGAGAAAATGGATTACAAATGAATAACAAACAAACATTTACTGCCTTATCTGAGTGTCCCATAAGTAAAATTCATTTCCAGTGAACAGAATAACTTTAGAGAAGCACTTGGACCATTAACAAAAGATATTACATAATATTTGTTATGTGATTCAACATCAGGGTGAAAATAAAGCTAGAGGTTATAGGTCTGATTGTATCGTCTTTCTAGTCAAATGCTTTCTAATTTCCTATTTCAGGTTAAAAACACACAAGGCACTTTTTAGAATAGATCAAAACAGTTTGGATGCTCTAAAAACTCTCAAGTCCAAACGTTCCCTAGCATGGAAAGATATGCATTAACAGGACTTTCTTCAATTCCTATAAAACAAGTATCTATTCATGCTCATAAGATATTCAACTTATAGCAGTCGATAACATTAAACTGATATGTTTTTGATGCATGATTTTCTGTGTAGAAATAGCTTCATTTGTCTTATACAAAACTGTTGAGGTCTGGTGGGGAAAAAGGAAGTAACTGCTTAATGGATGGGGGTCTTATTTTGGGGTGATAAAAATGCTTTGGAACTAGACAGTGGTGGCTGAGTAATATTGTGAATGTACTAAATACCACTATTTGCTCACTTTAAAATAGTTAATTTGATGTTATGTCAATTTCGCCTCAATTAAAAAAAAACTGTTGAGGAAAAAAGGCATGTTATCTATAAGAAAGTAACTTGGTTAGCTACTCTCTGTCTCACACACAAACACGACATTCTATTCTGCCAGCTATCTAAAAGATATACGCATTGGTCACAAAAAGAGACTCTCAAGAGAAAAAGCACCGATCAACAAAAATTCAATGACATCAGGTAAACGAGCCAATTATATACTAATGATTCTATTTTTACACATATAGTATTGTATAGTATATCATAAAAATGATTCTTTGAATGTAAAATTTTAGGGAAAAAATCTAGTACTCTTCAACAACTTTTCTCATTCAACAATTCCAAAGACTAAGGATTAAATTTTATGATAACTTTTGATTTGAGATGTCACAGGAATACGTTCTAGAAACAAAAGGTGAATGTCTTACCTCGGAATTCAAGTCCCCGCAGCTGAAAAGTGACCAGCCCATTGCCGATCTCTATAAGGTGTACTAATGCGTTGAGATAGTCAGAGGCAAGAATGAAACAGTCCCCTGTACTGTAGTTTCCCCACCGTCCTAGAAGCAAATCACCACAGAGACTGTGTTGTAGTGATCTGGTTAAATGTTCATAAAAGATGGAATTCAGATTGTTGTCATCTGATCCTACAAGAAGAAATTGTTTTAAATGTTAAATTGTATCCTGTTCTCTTTATATTGACAAACAAGATTGTTAAAAATATTATAACTAATTTCCGCTTAGGTTAGTATCTACATTTTTTGAAATGGAAAATAATATTTAGACCCTTACGATTTCTACATAAAAATGAAACACAAGGTAATGGAAAAGGTTTAAGAATTTAGTTAGAAGTCACAGGACCTCTCTGAATCTCTGGTTCTTAATCATAAAATGTGGCAATTGGATTAGATGAAATCTAAGGTCTTTTTCACTTTTTATATAGTCCATGATCTTTTCTATCACTACTCAATGAACTATGCCTTATAATTAAAACCATGCAGGAAAACGTAAAAAGATAAAAGAAATTCAGAACTAGAACAAAAAGACATACTGATAAAGTGTGTAAAGTAATACAAAATTTGAACAAACAAGGCAATCCAAAACAAAGAGAAGTTGGTCATTCAAAAAAAAAAAAAAACAAACCCATACATTAAGAGGGTTAAAACTAACTTACTAAACTGTATATACAGAAACAGCAGCAAAGAATCTACAAAATTTATTACAGTCACCCTTTAAGAAAAAATTAGGATAAAACGTTACCCAATAAATGAAACAACCATCTTCAGAAGTAACTCATGCAGAGCAATAACCTGTCAATGGGTACTCTAAGTATAGTACTAGAGAATGGCAAAATATACAAAGCTTAATAATTATTTTAAACTCAGCCTAACTAAATAATAGAATAATGAAAGGAGAACTGTAGACTCTAACTTCAAGAAAATGGTCCTGTCTAATATTATGTCTGCCCATTACAAAGTGTGCATATTAATTTGGGACACGGCCTTTTTGATACGCAGGATGGTACCATCAGCATCATAACCTTTATGAGGACACACTAGAGCTGAGATGGTTGTTTTATTTACCAGAACATGATAATGCAGTAATTAATATTAAGTAACTAGTTCTTTTTAATCCAATTTTATAATTATGAATCAATCTGATTACTGTAATTTAGTTTCTCAAGTAGAGCATTTGAAGGAATCTGTGAGTCAAATGAATAAAAATATTCTAGTTTATGTGAGAGTAACACTTCTTTTAGTAAATAAATACACTGGAATTCTGGTTGATACATTAATCTCTTATGACTGGGGCGGTGATATTCACCCTCTCTGTGTCAGATTACTAATAGATGGGCCGACAAAAGGATGTTTCCCAAACAACAAAACTAAGAACCAGACTTAAATAATGGTACCATCACCAAAATGCTACCCACTGAAGCCCTATGTTGAGTGGCTATTTGGCCCCCCTACATGACATCTCTATATATCATAAACTAAATGAAATTAATATTTACCTAAATATTCAGGGAACAGGGGAGGCAACACATTAATTAAACACATATTTGTTGGATTGCATACTCTTCAATATACATAACAGTTTTATGTTAACGGTGTTCTACTTTTTAACCTATGTAAGTACAATTTCTGAATGGCATTTTTTATTCCTATCAGCATTCTTAAAACACATTTTATAAAAGATGGGTATATAAATTGTAGAAACTAATTTACATATATTTTGCTAAAGTAAAACAAAATAAAGCAAAGGATATTTGATTTTAAAAAAAATATCATTTGGAACCCACAGAAGATTCTAAACAAGCTGGCAGTAAAGTACTGTATACATATGTAACAAATTCCTAAGATTTGCTTCTTTACTCACAAATAGAGCTATTACCTGGATTTCTATCAAGCTGGGAAGCCAATCTGGTATTAGAATGATCCACTCGTTTTGTGCTAAAGGTAGCAAAATAAAACATTTTAGTAACCTTTTTCATATTTAAAAAATGCCTAATGTCTAAAAAGGAGAAAACTATAAATACAGATGAAATACATATGATCACTTTATGAATATCTCTGAGAAGAATCTATGAATAGTGTATAGATAAAACTCTGCAGTGGCACCTTAGGGGTAAGGCTTTTTACTCTCCCACACCCATCATTCACAAGCACAGCAGTTATTTCCTAACTAGTGTTTCACTGAACAGTGTGTAGAGACATTAATAAGTTTAATGTAAAAAAATGGATCAGGATGAAAAAAATTCATACTGTATACAGTTCTTAAAAATACGCAGTACACAAAACATTCTTTCCAAGCATAGCTATTAATTTCCAGTGGCACAGTACTCTTTGCAACGGCGATTTTCCCAAAACGTGGTCCACAGAGCCTGAAGTATGGGACTCAAGACTCTCCCAGGGAGTTTTCCAGGTCAAAACTATTTTCATAACACTGAGCTGTTATTTGCTTTTTTCTACTGTGTTGACAATTGCACTAATGGTGCAAAAGCAATGGTGGGTATTGACTGATGGTGCTTTAACATGAATGAAGGCAGGGACACCAAACTGCCACACATCCAAGAGGCAAAAACAATAACTAAAAATTCAAGTTTCACTTTAAAATGTCCTTAATGAAGCAATAAAAATATTAATTTTATTAAACTACGAACCCTCAGTATAGGCCTTTTTAATCTTCTGTGTGGCAAAATACACATAAAGCAATTCTACTCTATTCTTAAGCAGGATCATCGTCTCAAGGAAAAGCTTTTTGCAACTGTTTGATTTACAAGCTACACTAGCTACTTTTTTTTTTTCCCACAGAATACCATTTTTACTTGAATGGCTGACAGATAAGCTATGATTATTCAAACTTGAGTATTTGACAAACATTTCTCAAAAATGAAGAAAGTAAGTTTGTCATTTCAAGGAAAACAACTAATAATGGTATCTGTTGGCAATAGTAAAATTTGTGTTTTCAAGCAAAAATTAGAAGTTTGGAAAATTTATATCTATCATCATGAGCTTGATAGCTTCCCAATACTCAGTTTTCTTTTCAGCTTGGTGGTGATATGAATGAATACACTTTAAAAAATATTTTATAATGAAATGTGCCAAAATTGGAAGATCTACATTACTCAGCGAACCAATATTTTCTAAATGACTGATTATGCACGGGTAAAAAGATCCAGCCAAAGCATAAGACATATCAGTAAATTTTGATGTAACACAGTTCCAGATACTAATGGACATGGTTTTAGATTCTTTAGGAAATAACCATTTGTTGACTTTGAGTGAACAATCAAAGAAGAATATACACGATTGTCTAAAAGGCTATTAAAATACTTTCTTTTATAAACTATGTCTGTTTAAAGACAGAGTTTCTTCATATACTTCAACCAAAACAACATACTGCAACAACAGATCAAATGAATGCAGAAGTGGACATGAGAATCCAGCTGTCTTTTATGAAGCTAGATATTAAAGAGATTTATAAAATAATGACACTATTCTGATATTTTTTGACAGGATGGAAAATATAGTTATTTTCATTACAAAAATGTTATTTTTGTTAACACATAATGGGTTTATTACTTTAAAATTGATTAATAAACACTTAAAATTTTTGAGTTTTGATTTCTAATACAGTAAATATTAGTAGATAAAACCCATATTAACAAAAACTCTTTGGAGACTTCAATAACTGTTAAGATTGTATAAAGTTCTGAGACCAAAAAGTTTAAAAACTGCTGCCCAGAAGATGGCCCAGAAGAATAGGAGATAACACTAAAATTCACCAAAAAAGGAAATACCATGTGTAGTTTGACAAAAGACCAGAGTAAAAGTTTAAAATCCACAAGCCAGTTTGCTGTTTAAAAGGTGAGACTACCATTTTTACCTGTTATGTATCAATGTGTCAAAGTATAAAGAAAAAAACAGTCATGGAACTAGCCAATAGGATCATAAATTAGTACAAGCTCTTTTTGAATCAATATGTTAATATATGTTAAAACCTTTTAAAATGTTTAAGCTCTATAACTCAGTAAGTCCCCTTTTAGATATTCTTTCTTAAAGTAAAAGAAATTTGGAAAGATTATATACAAGCATAGTTAGTATTAGGCTTCAGATTAAACAGCCTAAGGAACCAAGCCTAAATGAAGAAAACACTTTATGTACAAAGATGGTTACTGACAACTTATCCTCATGAAAAACCAGAAATAACCTATAAAAAATTTAGCTCTAGAAACAGCTGTTTCTAAGACAACTGCGAGATAACTATGACTGTTATAATGACATAACATTGTATAGCATAAACTTTCAGAGTATTATTGAAAACAATTCTAAGAAAAGGCACTAAAAGAAAAAAGAGAAAAATGAGAATATCCAACTAGAATTATGTTTTAAAAAGTCTTATAAATACAATAAAAGGTAGAGAAATAAAGAGTATTATACTATGATTCTTCTAATTTTATATAATTTTGAAACTGAGTATTTATAAAATTTTAGCAAAATTTTTTAACACAAAAAACTGTTAACTCTGGATTACTTATAATAATGCTGTTGATAGTTTTTCCTAATTAAAGAAAGATAAGAATTGGCTTTCAAATATTTTATTTTACTCACTTATAGTCTCTCTCCCAGAATTTCACAGGTCGAACATATGAAGTGATGAATATTGCACTTCCCAGAAAGGGGTTTAGTGGCGTAGAAAAGAAGGCTGATACAACAGCCTGAACAAACAACATGGCTGAATCTATGGAAAAACTGGTTAAGGACCTTAACATTCAACTGAGCACACACATGCACACTAACGGGCACGCTCACACACACACACACACACACACACAAATACATCTCACAAACACATTGCAATTACAGAAACTAGAAAAATAAGGCTCATCAGAGAAATACAGAAAAAGGGTGCTACTGGACAGTATAATGGGGTAGAAGTGAAAAGACATAGCTAGAAAGTACAGCCTGGCATGAGGCTTTGAAGGGAGATAAATAAATATTTGCTAACATGTATCTGATAAAAGTCTATATATTACTTTTGGGAAGAGATGCTTGGATTTAATTTTCCAGAAGATAAAACTATAATTTACAGATACAAAAAGTCTGCATTTCAACATGTACGTGGTCGTTAACTTTTACTTAGAAAGTATTTTTAAGAAATAATGACGATAGATTTTGGACATAAAGTTTAATAACAATTTAAAATTTTACTTAATTATAAAAATTAGTTTTACATAATTATAAAACTTATACTTTTCTCATGTTCAGATGATCTGTGGGCCACAGATGTTAATACAAGTTAAACAATCAAAATGAGGAGAGGTGTGGACTCAAAGGACTGAGAACTTTTGATAATTTATCACATAATAACCTATATTCAATGCCTGTGAAAGGTTATGCCTATAAACCAACATTCTTATCAAGGATATGACTGCCCTTTCTTATAAAACTTTTATTAGAAGGATACGGGGCACTGCAAAGGGCTGAGCAAAAGCATGGAAAGCAGAACCCCATGTAATTTGCCATGGGGCAATGTAAGTATACACAAACTGCAATTTATAAAGGAGTTCCCAAAGCTGTAGGAGGAAAAAAAAATCAGTAAAAATGTTATCAGATATTTGAAAAGAAAATTAAAGACCTCTAAAATGTATTTTCTATCTAATGGGGAAATGGCACTGAAATTATTTGCAATTTGCATGAAAGGAAAAGACATATCAACTGCCAAAACACAATATATTTTTAAGGAAAGACAGCTAGCTGATTTATAGATTGGTTTCTTCTGTTTAAAAAATTCTATTGGTTATGTTACCACTACAAGCAAAACAAAGAAAGGTAGGAAATCTAGATGTCTGTAAAGCTTAATATACATATATTTTGATTTAAGATATTTCCCTCAAATTTCTGTGCTTTGGAAACTGAGTTAAATGCAATGTCAAGAGGAATTTGAAAGCAGCCAGGGAGGGCTAACGCTGTAATATAGTTGTCACTCCCTGGTTGCCTAAAAATTTAGTAGTGTATATTAGGCATCTGTTCATAATCTCAATTGTTATTGTCAATGGAAACAAAATACACTTTTAAATCTTATTTAAAGTAGGATCTGTTCTGTTGAACATGTCTTCAACACTGAAACAGAATTGTTGAATTTGCCCAACTGCCTCTGCATACCAGGCAGTGCAAGGTCCAATTCTCAAAACAGATCACGGAATCTTCAAAGCAAGACATTCTGACTAATCAGGTGCCATGATTCATGTACTAAACACCTCATATTTAAATCACTTGGCTGATTTACAATTAACCTGCTTAAGTTCCTTTTTAAAACAGAAGTCACAACTTCAATCAATTAGAAAATGCAGATGAACTCTTGCATTCTTTGTTATGATGCAGAATTATGCTGGCAATCCTCATACTCATGTGATCAGGATGACAGGAAGTAAAAGCAGGATGTATATTATCAAGATGCCATTATGACTGCTTAAAAGCAGTGATCCAAAAAACTTCAGTCTAAATGTGGAACAGACTGTACTCAAATTTTGACTGTAATATTGAAGAACAAATACTATATAATTACATAGGTAAGTGGTTAGTGGGTAAACATTTTTATATACACTGAGTAATTTTTTCTTAAAAGGTTATTAAATCAATGGTGTATCTTACAATGGTATCTTAAAAAATCTAAAGAGATCCCTTGACTATTACTTCCTGATTATCACTGTTAAGTTCTATCAAGTAACTATATAAAATGCAAACTCCTTAAGGCAGAGCTTTCTCTGATTTGTTCAGCGATGTAGCCTAAGCATCTCACACAGTTCTGGAATGTGGTTTGCTCTCAAAAACAGTTTGCTGAACAAATGAAAGCATTAAATAAAAAATCCAAATTAATTTGAGGAAAGTGTAGTGACTCAAGAATTTAGTTTATATTTTACTGCAACTTTCACTTTTTTCTAACCAGTATAATAAGATGTAATTTCCAATCTAGATATTTAAGTTTGTAAGACACCACATGCTTCTCTAGAAACAATTTTCTGATAAACTTTCCAGTTTTCTCCTTTGGTTAACCATGCTCATTAGAAGAAGAAATAAATGATAAAAATGCATACAAATTAGAGGTTAGACAAATATAATATTCTAATACTTCAGAGGTTATTTTTCACAATTTTAGCACAATATTTTGAAATTGACCATCACTAAAATCTTGCTCAGATTAATGGTTTTCCATTGGTTTCCATCCTAGGTCAGATCTCTATAACATCTAAATTACTGTCACAATCTCTTAAACTGTTCTTCATACCTTTAGGTTCTCTCTTCCCCAATTCATCCCAAATGTGGCTGACCAGGCTAACTTTCCTAAAATTGGGCTTTCATTGTATTTTGTAGCTGCTCATATGCTTCAGCTCTGTTACCTATCAAATGGGATAATATATGTCAAAGTCCTTTGTATGTGGCCAGTGTTAACATGAAATCTAAACTCTATTTTAATTTACAAATAATCTGCACAACCTATTTCATTTAGAAAGGTAGTGTGGTTCAGCAAAAAAGATTCTTGGGATGGAAGGCAGATGACCCAGATTTCACCATCAAACTAACTTCTAATTGCTCCCACATGTCTTTGCTATCCTTCGTCTCTTATCATCTTCGATCAGCTACCAGGTTATTTCCTCCCTTGGTCTATCCGCCAGCACACAGCCCAGTACCACGTCTATTTCTAAAATTATTCAAAACCGCAACCCCTTTCTGAAGATCCTATATGTTTAAAAATATGTACTTTTAGTGTTTCTCAAATTTTTCCATATAACTTAATCTTATTATCTTCTTAGCTATAGCAAGAAATATGTCTTTTATGGATCACAGTCACTAGCATTGTTGAGGGGTTCTAATATGCTCCTAAATAACTAGTTGAGTGAAAAAAAAATTACTTAAAAGAAAATAAAGCAAATGAAATGCAAAGATAATCTTCACTAAATAGTATATTACTTAAGGAGATACTTTTTACAGAGAGGGACATTACTTTCAGTGATAAATTACCTTGTTGAAGAGTATGGACATGAAGAAGAGATCCAATAGCATGGTCTCTGAAAAAGCTTCATAGTCAATTTTGAAAAAGAGCACAGTAAAGATGACTGTGACATATTGATATGTAGGGCTACTAAAAGAGGATCGTAGCAACTTCAGTCCAGCAATGGTGATCATTAAAGCACCTAATCTATAATAAAAAGAAAGTACAACTCATCAACCAATGACTGAAAACTTTAGAAACTATACTAACTTTAGAAAAATCACCATTTCATTTACTAAGTTTATAATATGTACATATATTAAATTTAAATTTTTAAAAATGATTTATATAGCTAAGTAAATCACATCCTATTATAAACTATCATAATATTCCCTTTTAATAATATGCATTATGATTCTTATCTTTTACATAAATGAGCATATTTACAAAATAAGTTAACAGTATTGTAATTTTGACATTTGATTCTCCAGTTTCTCAGTATTTCTATTGCTTTAACATTAATATCATTTAATACATAAAAAACATGTCCCCAGTCTAGTGGGTAAGCCTATATGATGATTATATCTGGTTTGGTTTATACAGTACATAAGAATAACCAATTCCCAAATTTACCATCTAAGATTAACCCTATTTAATAAGTGTCCTGTCATAAAATATGAATTGACAATGAGATGTCTGGAGTAGTGAAATGCAGGAGTAGAAAAAGATGTTAAGAAAAGGGGAGTCAAAATTTCACCTGAATTTATCTCACAGTGCCTTGGAGGTAAGAGACACTCAAAGCCTGTTACTTGATGAATAACTTAAGGCACTGCTTATGACTGCTCCCAACAGTCAAACTTAGATTACAGGAGAATTATACTTACTCTGTATCCAGTTTTTTTGGACTAGCAATTGTCTCTGCACTGCTACTAAGTTCATTGAGAACAATCAATGGATAGATGATATTCTTCTCCACAAAAAGAAGCCACACATGAAGTTTCTCAAACCACATCATAGTGGCAGCATCTAACAAGGAAATATAAGTCAAGAATACTATGTCATTTAATGTATAAAATAGTTTGGCAATGCAATGAAAAAGGAAAATCTTACAACTCAAATTCAGCTCTACAATAAATACATAATGTAAGAAATCTAGTACTTCGATCAATTGTTAACTTTTGTGATTTCTGAGACATATCCAATTTTGCAACTTAGATTGACTTAAATGTAGATGAATTTCATTTTAAACTTTAATTCTTAAAACCTCAGTTTTTAAGCATAACTTTTTCTCACATGCCTGTAACTCTTATAGAAAAGGTTGCTGAAGATTATTAGACTGTCGCTTGCCCAAAAAAAGAAATAAGGTTTTAAAAATTAAAGTCTTAAGGAGAATTGGTTTGCCTACATATGGCAAAGAAAATTGAGGAAAAGGTTAGGGACTGGAAAGAAGTCACAAACATAGACAAAAGGATTCAGCAATGAGGTCTGTGAAGAACAATTTAAGTTTTATTCTGTGGAAAACTGGTATTGTAGTACTGATACTTATACTTCAGCTAAAATTAAAACATCTTGCAAAAGGTTTGACTCACACTGTAGCTTCAAACCTAAGTATAAGAAATACAAGCCAAAGTGTTAATTGATGATACTTATTTATCAGCTTTCGACAGAGTAAAAGAAAAAATCCATGGTATTAAAAAGAAGGTGATAATAAAATACTTACTTCGAACTTCGTATTGATTATACTCCACTGTCTTCAGCAGAGGGTGAGAGAAACAGTGCCACGGGAGCTGTTTTCTAACTTGAGGCAGCACGTAATGGGTTACAAAACCCACAAAGCCGACCAATGTATACAATACATACTTGAGAGCAGGCTAAAAGAAAAATAGAGAAAATTACGTGATTTTGAGACCCATAGGAAAACATCTAATTTGTCAGTTCAATTTTCCATTTGATTATGAAGAAGAGCAAAGTCAATTTTAGAATCAAAGAATTAAAACATCTGTCTACAGTTAACATTTCTACATTATGTAGTTTTTCTGATTAAGTCAGCTATGAAAGTTAGTGATTGCTCATGCATTACAGATATTTAAAAATGTGTTTACTACTTTCTTCGGTGTCTCACACTATCATATAATGAGAGGCAGGCCTGAGGTATATTGCATGCTACTGTAAAAATGTTCTATGTGACTTGCAGAGCAATGTATTAAATTATTTTAACTTGTAGAGATAAAGGACATGAGCTAAATAAAACGAGTCTGAGTGAAGAGCATATTAAGACAAGAAAAAGAAGGGTTTTTTTTCCACAAAAGAAAGTATTGAGTACTTTCTGTGTGCTCACTAAATGCATTAAAAAAGTGATCTTTTTTTCATGCCTCCACATAGTGTATATCATTAGAAGAGAGTTTTATGTGTGATTAAATTCACAAAAGAGGAAAAATCAAGTACCATCACTTCAAATATTCAAATTAAAAGTCATATATTCAGAAACTCTGGACACAGAGAGGCTCCCATCTGAGTCCTGAAGCCTCACTGGGCCTGACTTGGCTTGTGAGTGTTCAGGAATTAATAGTTCAAATTGGAAGAGAAGAAAAACAGGAAAAAATGTTAAATAAAATTAAATAATAGAATCTTTACTTCTGGTCAAATGTAATAATAGGGATTCACTCTTCCACAAGAAACAACCAAAACAGAATAAAATATGTGAACCATAAGGAAATGAATAGTGAACCCTGAGAGAGAAAAAACAGATGAGGTCAGTGTTAGGACTGCCCCAGTTTACTGCCTTGAGAGAGTTTCCAGGCTGCAGTGCAGGGAGGAAACCCACATGAGCCTGGACCCCCTGAGTTGGGAGCCTAGAGAGACAAAGGCAGCTAGAGTTCACCAGAGTAGACAGCACAGCAAAGAGAAAACTGCACAGAAACAGAAATCTGAAGATCTGCAGAGGGTTCCCCTCAGGTATTCAGGGGAATCTGCACAGTGTGTAAGGAAACTACACGAGACCAGGAAAAGAACTACAAGAAAGGATTAGAGAAGACAGTATCCGGCCCTCACAGAGGGTTAGGAATAGTGCCTGTTCCCACAGCCAGACTGGAAAAACTCAAGATTCACAGGGCACTGGCTAGAGTACTCAAAAGGTGTTGCCTCGGTAGGGGGAATATTGCCCCTGTACTAAAAACAGCCCTGGCTTCGCCTAACAAATAAATCTTAAAAGGAAGACTGAAAGGATCAAACTATTAACAAGTAACTTAACAGTGCTGAAAACTAAATTCAAGAATATTTCTAGAAATATAAAAATATCTAATACCCAACAAGGTAAAATTTATAATGCTTGGAATCCAATCAAAAATTACCAACATGCAAAGAATCAGAAAACTATCACCCATGAAGAGAAAAAAAAAAAATAACTAATCAAAACCAGCCCACAAGTGACAGAAGTAAGAATTAGGAGATAAGGACATTAAGAAAGTTAGAACTGAATTCTATACATTCAAAAAGTTAAGAGGCGTGGGAGATAAAAAAAAAAAGACTTAAACTTAAGATGAAAATTATAAATTCTGAGATGAAAAATACAATGGATGGGATTAATAGCAGATTATACATTATAGAAGGTTAGTGAACTTGAGGACACAGCAATGGAAAGCATTCAAAGTTAAATACACATACAAAAAGAATTAAAATAAAAAGAGCATTAGTGAACTATGGGACAGCTTTAAGAAGCCTAAGATATATGTAACTGGATGGAGTCCATGTATGTGGGGTGGGGGTAACAGAGCAGAAGAACAGAAAAAACATGTGAAGTAATAAAGGACAAAATTTTTCGAATTTGATGAAAATCAGACCAGAGAGTCAATGTAACTGAAGTACAAAAACATGAAGAAAACTATGCAAAGGCACATCATAATCAAACTGACATCATGTGGAAACAGGGATCTGCACAACAGAACGAAGAGCACTGAGAATAGTGATTACATGGCCTGCAGATAAGCAGGGCTGTACTGAGGAACAAAACCTGAGGGGCCTCACTAACACCTGGACCTGATTTAGATAATGAGGTTCTAGGCTTCCAGCTGTACTGGAACGAGACTTTGAGGAGTTCATGTATTTCAGCATTATGGACAAACATTCAAATCAGAAATCAGTCCAAACAAAGTTATTTTCTCTCAACCAAAAGAACTAAAGGATTCCTTACCTGCAATACTGTGAACACTGTGCTTACATGAATAGCAAAATACAGCACACCAATCACAATGCATACCACTAGGTCAGACTGTAAACGTTCACTCTGTGAAACAAAACAGAATCATCAAACAATGACACAAAATTTAAAAAATATATTTTCTTTATTCCTAGCTGGAAAAGTTTAAGAAAGAAATTTTCACTGATGCTATTTTTAGCACTTCTAGGTATTTCTTACACATGGTAATCAGGTACAAGTCTTAGTTTCTTCTTCAATTTCCTCATATCTCAGTTTGACACTGCAATACCAAGAAAACCAAACTAATGAATCTAGTGCCACATACAATATAAGATATCGTAACAAAGTCTTTTATAATGAAGCTGTGTTATTTTCCCTCCCATTGGCCTGTAAGTTTAACATTATGGAAAAAGGAAATGAGGTGCTTAAGTTCTGTATCATTCATAAGGCATATCCTTTTGGATAACAAACTTATATTTTCATTGGTATTTCGAAATGTTGAAACTGCATGCATATGTCCTATTTTACTTACTAGATTTTGGTTCTTTTAGTGGTTGTAGTAAAAACCAGAAACCTCTTGATATCTTTGGTTGTTGACTAACCCACAGATTTATACTTTAAGCTAGTTTTAGAAGTATCCTACTACATTTCACATGAAATATCATGGAAGCTAAAGTCATAAAAATTCTTTAAATTATATTTTGAGGCAGTTTTGTACTTCTCTAAGGTTTTCTAAAGACTACGTGAATAGCTCAAGTTCACAGAAGGTAAATATTGCGTCTAATTCAAGACTTATATAAGTTCAGTCTTTAACATATGAAAATAAGTCTAATAACTTAGAAGAATTTTATTTTATTCTATAAAGCACATGAATCTACAGAATTCATTTTTCAAATAATCACTAAAAAAATGCAGGCAACATTAAAATTCACTAAACTTAAAAAATTTTAAATGACCACATTTACTTAAGTATATTAAATTACCACAGGTTATCACTCTCTCCTTTAACTAGGAATCTCTCTCTCTCTCTTTCTCTCTCTCCAGACTACCCTTGAGAAATAAAACACACTAAAAGGCTAGCAGATGACTTACAAGGATACAGTTTTTATCAAGAGGAAAAACGTTAGGCAGACAGGTAGACATGAGCAACAGGGGAATGAAGGGCCAACCCAGAGACCTCCCTTAGGACCTCTCTGAAACACCTTTTTCACAGTTAAAGATTACCATTACATCCTGAAATATAAGGAAGTAGAAACCACAAAACTAACCACTGGTTTAGTCTGGTGACAAGCACCTGCGCATATACTGTTTGTTAGTACATGTCTTCTTTACCAAAGACTCATTATAGCAGTATTATAATATCATACATATGCCCAGAAGTTCATGAATTTAATTATAACAGACTGAATTCTGGGTAATCACATACCAGTAAACAAGGGGTTATATACAGCAAGGTGTCAATCAAAATGACCTCACATGCCAATCATCTAGCACCGCCCCTGTAACCACCCTTCAGAGACACAATATAAGGTACATTCCCAGAACCCTGCCGGGCTACAGCAATTTCTGGCATAGCCCATTTCTCTCTTGAAACATATTTTAACAAATCTCACTTTTCTTAAATTTCTCTGATCTATAATTGTTTACCACATTGACAGAAAGAACCGAACCCCCCTTGACATTCCCAGTGCGCTGGGAATGGTAACAAAAATAACAAAATCTAACTACAGCCATGCCACCCTGAACAAGCCTGATCCCGTCTGATCTTGGAAGCTAAGCAAGGTCAGGCCTGGTTAGTACTGGGATGGGAGACCAGGTAGGAAGACCAGGTGCTATAGGCGTTATTTAAAAATAAATAGATAAATAAATAAAGTAATACTCATCTTTCAAGTTCCAGTTTAAACTGAATAAAATTGAGAATTCTATAAACAATGAATTACTTAGTTTTACCTGACTTAAAAATGAATGTTCAACATACTGTTTTATGCAGAAACCAAGTCTGAGGAATGAGCATTGCTTATGTTAAAATTTTAAATAAAAGCAATCGACAATGTACAATACATAACTACATACAGTTATTATATATAGTTATACATTTCATCCAATTATTAAATGCCTTCAAAAAATGTTCATTATATAACATGATGAACTGTCTAAAATATAAGTCTTTTAAGTATTTTAAAAAGCTTAAACTTACAACAGAATTTCTAAGTTTTTCAGGCAGTGGATCTTTTACTTCAGACAGAGGGTCTTCTGGATTTTTCTCTTCTGTTTTTGGAAAAATCTTGGACTGCACCAAAGAGCTTTATATTTTTAAAATGGAGAAAATAATTAATAAAAAAATACATATCTAATCTGAAAGCTAGTATTTCAAATGGCCAAGTTTATGATAAAAAACTAAATGATCTAAGTATACTTAATCATTAACAAATGATAAATTCTGAAAAGTTTAAGATGTCATCAAATAAGCAAATAGTAAGAATGTTTATTAAACATAGCTTTAATATTTAGCAGAGAAAAAATTAACAAATACTTTCAGCTAATGTGATTAAAACGACCCAAATTTAATCTATTTTGAAACCCAATATAGATTAAGTCAATAGCATTTTCATATGCCATTGGGAAAACATCCCTTGGAAGTTAAATTTGAAAGAAATGTCAACTTATTTAAATTTCTTTAATTCAATAACAACTTTCACTTACAAAAGTACAGATGGATCACTGCTTTGTCGGCTGAGATGATAGGATACTGCAACTAACAAACCACAAAAAACGGAGAAAAGTACTGGAATATGTTGACCATCCCAAGAATCCTGTTGGAGGGAAAAAAAAGTATGACAGAACAATATTCTAATTTATAATCATATAATCCTTGGATGTCGGAATTTTGGAGAAAGATAACTAAATTCAATAAAAACTTTTTAGCTCTATTATTAACTGCTTTTTATTCCAGATAAATTTAGATTACTTTTTGATGAGCTAGACTCTAGCTTCTAGATCATCTTCAGATTTCTTTTGATTACTAAAGCTCTATTTATACACAAGGAATAATAAATACATTTGCTACTGATACATGCTGCTGCCAATTTCTTTCAGATTTAAAGAGTAAGCTTACAGTAAAATATGTTCTCTCTTTTGAAAAATAAAATAACTTGGTAAATTTTTTTATTTTCTATATAATAATGGAGTAGGAAAAGACAACACACGATACAAGACATTAAGCAAAATAAAATGTTAACATTTTGGTGTGCTACTTTTTTGATGCCTGTGTTATTCATATAATATGCATGCCATTATATTTTCTATAGTATTGAGCAGGCATTCGGTGTTTCCTGAATGAATAAACTGCATATTCTCAGAAATAATACAAAGGCTAGCTTCGAAGGCCAACCAAACATGTGGAAATGGCATTTCTCAGTGTCTTATCCTCACCCATTTCTCTTGTCAACCCACATTAGCAGTCTTTTTCTTGCTCTTCATTTTTGTTGATGAATTCCAAATCTATTAATCACTACCTCAAACCTCTCTAAATACAACTTCCTACTATGCATCTCTGGGTACCCCACAAATGTCAACAAATAAATGTGTCCAAAAGTACACAATCACATTCCTCACTAAACACAAAATTTCCAATTTTGTGCATTAATGTCACTATCTAACCAGTTATACAAACTTGACCCTAACCAGAAGTCATCTTGGAGCCTATTGTGGCTCTTTTCTCTTTATTTAGAGTTCCCAAATATATTCACTAAATCCAATTTTAATTAAGTCCCTCATAATTTCAAGATTGCAGCACAACAGTCTTCCTACTTCTGATCCTTCCTGCTTGTATTTCCATTTCCTTCACTCTGAGGGCCAAGTAATCTTTTTAAAATGCAATGCTGATCATTTCCTTGCCATACCTCAAATATTTTGAGTCTTCCATCTCCACCCCAACACATTCAGGATATAAGACAATTTTGATAGAAAGTAATTTTGATAATGATAAAAGACAAAATATTTTATAATCCAGCCTCTGCCTACCTTTCCAGCCTGACTGAAATCCATCTTTCCACATGTACCCAAACCTCTAGCAATTCCAAATTACCTGCTGCTTCCTACACACAACACACTTTCTTTACAACTTCCTGGCTCTTCCTCCCTTGTTTTAATTAACTAATTCCTATTTGTCCTTCAAATTTTGGTTAAAAAGCTACCACGTGGAAAATTATCATTAATCCTGTTAGGCTGAATAAGGTAATAATTTAACTGGTATATAACCAGTTCAAAACCTTCATCACCCTCTAGCGAAAGGGTTGTTTGACTTGTTAATCACAGTGGCACGTAAGCTAATAAAAATCAGGAAATAAATGGTGTTTAGCACAGTACTGGGTACACAGTAAGCAATCTATAAATGCTACTGAATAAATGAAACAAGGAAGGATGCTCTGAGTCACTTTTCACATTCTTTCAACCCTATCACTCACTGTCTTTCATTAATCATAAAAAATAATACCACCAGGGGTTAATGGTTGTTTACGAGAAATTTAAATTTCACTTGTTCAATTTGGTGACACTTTTTTTAAATGGAGCTAATAAGTGTAAATATATATGCCTTACCGTTAAAATATAAAGCTGAAACTTACTGGATTTCATTAACCAATGTCACCATAAAAAATAAAATAAAAATATAAAATTATAAAAAAAAATAAAATGGAGCTAATAAGGCTCATCCAGATCCTTCTAAACCATTAATAATGACATTCAGGTCTTTGCTGAGGGTCACACTGAGGTACGAGTTGCTTCAGGGGCATCTTTAGGAGTCAGCAACAGGGCAGAAGACATCAAGTCCAAAATCAAGAATTATCAGACTGCTCCTTTTGACAGCTGCTTCCCCAACCAGAAGCAGACAGGAACTGTTGGTAGAACTACCTGGACTTCCACTGCTGTGCGAAGGCAATGACCACTAAAGGGGATGATGTCTCCGTGTGTGAAGGGTACTGGCGTGCGTACAAGTCCCTCTGCCCCATATCCTGGGTATCAGCTTGGGATGACCACCAGGCAGAAGGCACATTTCCTGGAAAGATCTGAACTGGCTCCACTGCCCCCTCTCCTCTGTCTTCCATCCCTCTCTCAGGAAGGTGAGGGTGGACCTGGGTACATCCCACCCTGGGGTCCTGAATCATGGCTTAACTAATAATACATACTTGTTGGAAAAGTGAAAAAGAAAATAATGACATTTAATTTTAGTGCACTAATTTTTACTAGAATCGTTTTTTTTCCCCCCTAAAAAATATGGAATGCTTCACAAATTTGCATGTCATCCTTGCACAGGGCCACACTAATTTTCTCTGTGTTGTTCCAATTTTAGTATATGTGTTGTTGAAGCGAACACTAGAATGTATCTTAAATTGCAGTCTTTGAACTTTACTTTTATAAGTTTTAAAAAGTATTGATATGAACAGTAGGCATATATATTCTTAACTAGAAATCTAAAATTAATTTCATATTCTGTTATTACTATGTCCACCCCTATCCCACCTCTAGCCTGTTATTACTATGTCCAGCCTAATTTGTTTCTAATATTAACCTCTGATTATTTTATGGAAAAGGATTTTCTTTTTATAATGGTTAACTATGAAATTACTTTCCAATTAAAAGTAAAGAGCATGAGAATAATGTTCAACATAAAAGGATCGTGGAAATTCAAGGTAAAGTGACCAGGGAAGGGGGAAAAATTATCAGTCAATTTAAAACAATCCTCATATAGAAAAACAGCCCTAAAGACAAAACATAACGTACTGCTCACCTTTAAAGCGCCATAACACAATCCATACAGTAAGGCTACTGCTACAATGCTACAGATAAAACTGTAGAGTGCTGCAAGCAAGCTTGTAGTGGCTGGGCAGGAAAAGAAAAAAGAAATTAATATTTTATAAACACTTATTAAAAACATATATTAAAACGGCACTGAAAAGTATTTAAAATGGTATAATATCAACTAGAATTAAGTATTTTTTCATCTGATTTTTAAAAATTGAGTTACTTTAAAGTCTGTTGAAATGCACCATGAAGCTCTGAGTGAAGCTCTTCCTGGAGACAATGTGGGCTTCAATGTCAAGAATGCATCTGTCAAACACATTTAAATCGTGGCAATGTGGCCGGTGACAGCAAAATAAGCCACCAACGGAAGCAGCTGGCATCACGGCTCAGGTGATTATCCTGAACCATCCAGGCCAAATCAGTGCTAGACATGCAGCTGTGCTGGACTGTCACACAGCTCACACTGCTTGCAAATTTGCTGAACTGAAGAACACTGATTGTTGTTTTGGGAAAAAGCTACAAGGCGGCTCAAAATTTTTGAAATCTGGTAATGCTGCCATTATTGATATGACTCCTGGCAAGCCTATGTATGTTGAGAGCTTCTCTGACTATCGTCCTCTAGGCCGTTTTGCTTTTCATCACATGATATAGACAGTGCTATAGGTGTCATCAAAGCAGTGGACAAGAGGCTGGAACTGGCAAAGTCACCAAGTATGCCCATAAAGCTCTGAAGGCTAAATGAGTGTCACTCCCAATACCTGCCACCTCGGTCTTAATCAGTGGTAGAAGAATGGTCTCAGAACTGTCTGTCTCATTTGGCCATTTAAGTTTAATAGTAGAAGACTGGTTGATGATTGCAATGCATCGTAAAACCTTCAGAGGGAAAGAATGTTTTATGGACCATTTGGGGATTTTTTGTGGCAATTGTTATTAGGTTTGTGTGCCAATTGTTATTAGGTTTCAAAATCAACACTTTTTAATGGAAATGACTTGACCAAAAATCTATCACAGAATTTTGAGACCCATTAAAACAAAGTTTAATGAGAAAAAAAATTTGAGTTACTTCATCCAGTGCTTTTAAAAGATGATGAAAGAAAGAGTCATCTATTAGCCACAATTTTTGATACAAAATATATTCACCTTGTAAGTAATGAACATTTATACATGGCAGAAAAAGTCATGCCTATATTATGCTTCAAGAATGTACCTTATTATATTTACAAAAGTATGGGGAAAATGAAGCTTGCAAAGGCCTGAAAAGGAACTGGAGACATATTAAGTATTCACTGAAAGATATTAGCCTTTGTAAACAGAACTTGTATTACCTACAAAAGTAAATTTGTATTGAATTGTGTTAATTCTCACAAAAAAAATATAGATCTAATTACTAACAACAACAGAGATCCAATGGATTACTAGTTATAAGGAATAGGAGATGGCTAATACAGCTAGCTTTTATTTTTAAAATATGGATAATGGTTCCATAAAAGAAATATATAGGAAAGATTTCTCTTTAGGTGATATTAAAAAATTAGCTCCTTGTACAAGTCTATAAATTATGACAAAGCTCACTGTTATGAATAATATACATTGACCCTTCTCCATAGTATTTAGATTAATATAGCACCTATAATAGCCCCTAAATACTGAAACTGTCTTCTATCCATTAAGCCATGCTAAAGACCAGCCCAGTCTTAATTCACACCCCTTTGAAAAATTTTTCAAAGCATCAAAAATGCTCTAAAAGCATAGGAAAGTCTTAGTTTCTATTTAAAACAAGTCATAATATCAACATTTATTAGTAGAGATAATTTCAATGCACATATTTGGAAGATAAATGAGGACTACAAAAATGATGTATGAAGAGAAATGGACTATAAAGTTACAGTAATTTCTGTCCCTTTCATATTTTTTCTCTAGTTGTACATACATCTTTCAGTAAAATTTTAAATAGTTAAACCAAATAAAAGTATATTTTAACCCCGGTGGCTGCCCATAGGGTTATTTTCAAGTTCTGCAAATCATCATCTAGAGTAACACTGGTCTTATTTTTAAAATGAAATATACATATATTAAGGAAATACATTTCTAAGTATATCACATCATATCCATACATTCTACTCTAGAAACAGAGGTACTTTTAAAAAGGTTATTTAGTAAAATGCTTTTATCAAAAGCATTCTGGTTTTGGTGTTCACACCAAGATAAAACAAAGCACTGAAACTAAATACACAGACATCCCAAATGCATATGCCAGTTCAAAATCCAAATACAATGCCATATATCAGAGCTCAATATATTTGAGTTATATGACCTTTTATAAATATTTTCTAAGTCTATACGGGTTCTATGTAAACTCATTATCACTTTTAGTTTTAGACAATAGCATCGTTACTTCCTACAGATCAACACGATTTTTCCTATATCTTTCACTAAAGGAGCAGACTTGACTGCTTCTTCCTATCTACAAATTTAATTCCTACTAAGTCTTCAATTATTAAGCAAGTGTATTTTTTTTCTAATTCCGATTCTAAAATGAAAATTGAAAAAGCATTTTAATGTTCAGTTTGCTACTTAATGATCTGTAAAAGTAATACTGTAATTTTTAATTTTTATAAGGAAGTACTCACCATTACCACCAAAGATATGAATATCCAATTGTTCACAAAGGTACATTACAAATGTATTCACCTGAGGCAGGAGACCAATGAAAAATACTACTGGGAAACAGAGTGTAAACACTACAGAAGGAAAGAAAAGTAAATTAAAAATAGTATACCTCATCCATCCTTTTATTTTTTTTAAATCATAAAATAAATGATAACAGACCTAAAATTATCATACACCACTCAGTAATTTTTTAAAGATATCTTTTAAAACTATGTCTCTCTACATAACTGCTTGGCTATTAAATAATCTTTTCAACTTTAACAGCTTTTAAAATAATTTCAACCATCTTCACATAACCAAAGCCTGAATCCAAAGGAAACCTTCCATCTGCTTCAAGAACAGAAGAATTGCTATATTTGTTCATCATTAGCTTTTTTTTTCATAATAGTACTATAGTTCTGTTTCTGAGAGGATTACAATAAACAACAAAACAAGCCTATTAAAACTATTTTTACCTATATAATTTACCTACTTATCAGTGAACTGACTGTATAAAAGATAGATAAGAAATGAGATACTTTAAAGATGACTCACCTATAACTAAATCCCTGGCTGATATAAGCACCAGCGGATTGGTGAAAGTTATTCCATATAATTTGAATTTGGTTGTAGTAAGGTTTCTGCTACCATAATCCAAGAGCCAAATAAGACCACAGCATAAACAGAAATAAACTGGTCTACTGTAGGCAATAATACGATTATGACCCTGAAAATGATATTAAAAAAAGAAGTCAGTTTAGTTAATTTTAAGAGTCACAACTAGCTATTGAAATCTTTGATGGCTTTTAGTCTAAGGATTCAAAATGTTTCCATGTGGAAACCCAGTTTCTGGCTGTCACAGAAGGGAATTACAAATTTGGAGAGGAGAAAAAATAGTGAACCCTGTGATAATGGATTGAATTAGAGGTATCAGTATGAACTCGTTTTTTTTTAACATACATATAAATATATATAAGAATAGATGCATGCACGTGTACATAGCGAGACCATGACCAACGCAGGGGTTAAGGACACCCCTTGCACAGTTGAAAATTTGTGTATAACTTTTGATTCCCCCCAAAATAATAGCCTATTGTTCACTAAAGCCATACCAATAACACGAACTGCTGCTTAAAACATATAGTTAGTACTTAAAGAATGATAAGGTAATGTTTAAAGGACAGAGAAGGCAGCTTGAGGGGCACCCAATGGCCGATTCTGACACAATTTGAGCATCAAAATAAATAATGATAGTAACATTATATATAGTCCATTGAATAAAATAAGAATCCATGAATCCACACTCATACAAAAAAATAAATACACAAGGGAAAGTTATTTTTTATAGTAAAAAGTCAACTACAAAATGTAGGGGAAATGATGGAATTACAAAATCACTATTTGGCAACTATCAAATGATAATCTGATTCAGGCAAGAAACATCAAAAGATATTACAAAAAAGTGGGTAGAAGTCAGCAGGGCAACTGGACATACACAATCACAAAGTACATCCCTATGAGATAGTTATTAACTATAAAAGAAAAACAGTAACATTACAGTAGAGTAGTGATTCAAGGGAGTGGGAGGGGATTTTGACCCCAAGGGACATTTGGCAATGTCTGGAGACTTGTTGGTTGTCACAAACTAGTATGGGGGTACTACTGACATCTAGTGGGTAGAGGTTAAAGATAAAGCTAAACATCCTATAATGCACAGGACAGTACCTCCACCCACAACAAAGAACTATCCAGCCCAAAATGTTAGTAATGTAGAGTTTAAAAAATCCTGCAGGCACTACCATTGGCCAAAAGATCAAAGTTAACGTGATCAAAGTTAACGTGATCAGCGAAAGGATAAATCAACATCACATGCTTCCTGATTTGATGCACTGAGAACACATCACTTTCGTAGTATGCCTACTATAAAAACCACGGCCTATATTCAATCAAGAAGAAACTTTAGACAAATTCAAACTGAGGAATGGTCTACAAAACGCCTGGCCTGTACCCATCAAAAATGTCAATATCATGAAAGACAAATACTAAGGAACTGCTCCAGATCAGAGCAGGCCAAAAAAGGCCCAATGCATAATCAGGGATTTTCTATTGCCAATTGAGAACATAGGAAACACCTGAATAAGAACTGTCACTTAGAAAACAGTATTGTATCGACATTAATATCCTGATTTTGATAATTATGTTGAATTAGTGTAAAGAAATGCCTTTGTTTCTAGACAACAAAAACTGAGGTATTTAGAGGTAAAGGGGCATCGTGTCTACGATTCACTCTCGAACAGTTTAGAAGTGTGTGTGTGTGTGTGTGTGTGTGTGTGTGTGTGTGTGTGTGCGTGCATGCATGTGTATGTGTTGTATAGGGAGCCGAAACGGAATAAGCAAATATGGTTGGATGTTTGCACAGGGATCTGGGTGAATGGCATCAGGAATTTTTTGTACGATCCTTGCAACTTTTCCCTAAGTCTGAAATTATGTCAGAATAAAAAGTTAAAACCAGTACTTCTATATATCATTACATTTCAAAAGCATTTTTACAAAATAATAATCAGCTGAAAGAAAATCATACACCTCTTTGTTTTGTTTTGCTCATCTACTCTCATTAGTAAGTATCTCAGTGGATGGGAAAAATGACTATGTTCAAGAAAGAAGCTATCATCATAAACTGCTCTTGGAGTATGACTTTAAACTACTTTAAAGAGAATGCCCTTTGGTCTTTCTAGTAAATAAACATTCTTGGCTGAGGTCTAAAACTGAATCATGCTTCATAATAAATATTGTTAGGCAGCTAACACTTTTGTCTAAAGTCACAAAGTAAATAACAAGGTTTTTAATCTCCTTAGTGTCCACAGGTCTAAACACCAGATCAATATATGACTTCTTTATTCTTGCTCCTAATAATTACTTAAGCAAAATTATGTGGCTTTTCCTACTTCAAAATTCTATTTTTCAATACTTAGTCATGATTTATTCTTCGAAATTTATTAAATGCAAGTTATCAAATAGCCATGAATTTATATGAACCATGTCTACCTAATCAATAACCTCCTCCTCCTGAAACAGGCTGTCAAAAAATGAATTACTATACTCATTTTCAACCAAGATTTAGAATTCACAATTATAATCCCATTTTACTTCACACTAATAAATCACCTATATTTCTAGTAGTGTGTCAAAACTAAGATGAGAAAATAATAACATAAATCTTAATTCAATCTGACATATGACCCAAAAAAAAGGTTTTAATAAATGTTAAGGAATAATGAGTTACAGTCATATTAGAGTGACTTACATGTCTGGGAGAAGAAGAATCTGGTTGAACACTCTAAAAATGAAGCAGAAAGATAGATTATACTACTGAAGTCCTGGTAATTTTACGAACAACTTTCAAAATGCCTGAAATAATTTCAAGTAAATATTCCACAGCAAAAGAAGGACCTACATTAATTTTTTGAAACATCAATAAAAGAAAAAACATCAGCTCCAGATATTGGTGTCACTCTGATATTAGAAACCTCTCAAATCTTTCCTCTTATCATGGTTATTAATAATTTGCATCTAACTTAATGTTTCTGAAATAGTATATGGTAGACAGATCTATCTTAACTGCTTAGCTCATTACTACTTATAAATATCTTAAACTAGAATGCTTTCTTAGGCATCATCACCCCATTCAGGAAATGCACAAAATATGGGTTAGCTTATAAGAGGAATTCTAGTTCTGCCCACAAATTCCAAGCTTACTAAACAATTCAACAGTATTTGTATTAAATGCATTATCTTCATTTTCACATCAAATTCATCAATTAAGCTATATCTCTATAAGAAATTTTATCAGCTTTTCATAAAAATGTACAAAAGGTATTATATGCAGCTACTTCCCAAATTGTGACTTTTCTCCCAAGATCATTTCTAATACCGTACCAAACAATTTCACTAGGATGGTCTATCACCATCCTACAGTTCTTGACTGGAACAAGCTTACTGAGTTTGGCATGTGGGCCTGGCTTCTGAATAAGAGACCAGGTAATCTTTAAATTCTTTCAATTCCAACATCTATCCTCTAAAAGTATCTGTTCCAGCCGTTCTTATTTGTTTACAACATTACTATTCCTTTAGTCAACTAACTGTAAAAATCTCAGTCATATTTTACCTTTTCTATAACTAACCAAAAGCAGTGGACAAAATTAATGGGACAAGGAACACTGGAATCAGGGAATGAATTTAAATGGTTTAAGGCAATAACGGAATGGACTGAGGTGGTTGAAATGGAAAATAAGAACAAAGGCCAGAAATTTTAACAGAGGATCACCACAAAGACACTTGGAACAAGAAGGGGCTTTAAGATTTTGAGTCAGGATAGTACTGTGAAAAGCAAAGCAACCAGGAAAGAAAAATACTTTTCAGCTGATGATGATGGGCTATTTTTAAAATGTGCCAACTGCCTATTAAGATATATAGGACTAAAGCTTGCAAGAAAGGTGAAGACTTTGAGATATACATCTGGACATAAGTCATATACCAGGGCAATAATTAAAGTAAAAAAGGATGACTTCACTAGCAAGAAACTGCAAACTGAAAAGAGGGCCAAATAAAACCCTAGAGAATTCTCGTAAATTAAAACTTAAAAAGATATAGCTTAACTTAATTGATGATTTTGATGTCAAAAGAACAAAGAGGCATCAACAAAGAAAAATTAAGTTACCTGAAAATAAAATAAGTATCAGGGTAATATAAAGTCACAGAACAACAATGAAGACAATATAAAAATGCAAGATAGTATTCATAGGTGTTAAGTGATGTAGCACTCCCAGATAATGAAGACTAAGAAAAGGACATAGATTTGGCAATTTGAGACTATGAGCAACCACAAAGACTGCAATTTCAATACTGCAATGAGGAAAAAGGTATGGATAGGTCTTGAAAAAAATGAAGCAGTTGAAATAGGTGGTATAGTCCAGATGTCTTAACTATAGACACCTGGACACCTAGTGGTGTAAAAAGAACTAAACAAATAGTTTTCAGGATAGGAGAAGGTTCTTCATATTAGCATATATGAGGCAAATAACCAATATAAGCAAGGGTATTTACTGGTTAAGAAAGAAAAGAATGGAAAAAGTCCACACTGACAGTCCATACTGATTTTGCATGGAAGGTGGAAAATTTGGTATTTGATTCTTCCATTTTTGGAAAGCTTAAAATTGTAAACATTTGATATTTTAGAGCTACTATGAAAACGAGAGCAAAGGGACACCAATCTTCTGCTTTTAATATCCCAAAGGAACATATGTACCAGTTTTGACATTACTTATCTACCAATAATGGACTTTAATAAATGTCACCTATAGAACAGTAAAAATATAGAAGTGGGAGAGTGAATGTTGACAAATTAAAAAGAAATGAACTTCAAAAATGCAAATTCTTATTTTTAACAAATGCCCAAATATATTTTAATGCAAAAAATAGCTTTAAGGAAGCTTCAGTTACATATTTTTCAAAGTTTATATGTCACTTTTATTCCCTACCCAATCTAATGTAAACATTCAAGGAAAATAAATCAAAAATTTACTATAATTCAATGAATAATAAGAAAACTTATGCTCTTTAACACAAATATTATTCCATAGTCTGAAAAGAAGAGCAATACTGGTACCTTAAGTAGTGAGTATTGACAGCTGGCTATAACCAGGCAGAACTGGAAGACCCAGATATCTCTGAAGAAGCCTTGTATGAGAAGAATAGATCCCAAAAATGCCACAATAATAGCCAAGATGACAGCTAACACATTTTCCAGGATCTCACGATTTCTGTAGACAAAAATCATTATGAGTAAGTATATCATCAATATAAGAAATTAATCAGAGTTGAAATAAGAGAAGGCATCAATATGAAGTTTCTATTATACTTGCTGAAATGCTTTTCTGATACTACATTTGCATAAAATTATGGATCACAGTGAAAAAGAAACTCATTTATGTGGAAAATTAAGACAAATTCCTATGTGCAAATAAAGCATGCTAGAGTGGATTGTAGTTTTAATTTTAATATATAATGTAGTTTTAATATCTACTTAAAAATTTTTACTCTTTTTAACATCTGCTTTTCTATCTGTCAAGTTTGTTGCAAAATAACTAATCAACTTGGATGGTAAAGAAGTTAGAGAAACGAGTTTGAAAAACAAAATCTCAAAACAGTTTCTAGAAAATTAAATTTAAAACTGTCATTATTTTATATAATAAAGTTTGTGACCAAATTTTGATACCAGTTTCATTTTCCCCACCTCAAAATCATGTGAAATAATCTGAAAAGTAATTAACTAGAATCATTTACATACAGGTTCTCCCCTATGTTGAGAATGAAGGCAGTGATAGACTGTCAATACTATACCAAAGTTGATGAGACAAGTATGTATTTTATTAAACAGACACCGTAAAAGAAATAATATGATGCCCAAGATATTAAACATAATAATGAAGATAATTTTTATGTCACACCAAAAACTATGAACCGATCTCACTACTTCTTGAGGAAAATAAATCGAAACATTAAAAGCATTCAGAAAATGTTAAATATGAAAGTCTTTTTTAAAGAATATATGCTGACATGGGAACATGCCCAGCATATTTGCCATACAAAGAAAGGTCACAAAACCATGTGCACAGGAAGATGTAAATGCTGTTATTTAAAAAACTTTCAGATATAGGTTAAGTTAAAAAAGACAATATATCAAAATGATACTACTAATAAAGTATTTCTCTGGGTGAAAGGATTATGGATATATAAAATCTTTCTATATATTTAAGTTTTTTATAATGAATGAAGAATTACTCTTAAAATCACAAAAATGTTTTTTAACTTGCTGTCAATGACATTTATAATCATCGGCTGCACTAAAACTAAAATTCGCAAACATGTCTGTACTATTTCATTTGTTAGTTCTACCAGATTAAAACAAGTTCAGTAGTATTTTAAAAACAATGAACACTGGTATTTTCACTGATCTCACATGGCAGTTGTGGAATTCCAAACTCGTCAAACCCAATGACCCTCATCGACCCCGCTACACCGCATACTGTCTGTATTGCTAGACACTGAACACGTGCTCTCCTTCGGCTTCTCTTAGTTTTTAATTTTGATAAATACAACTTATCAATTTGTTCTTTTACTAATCTAATTTTTGGTGTTACATGTAAGACATTTTGCCTAACCCAAGGTCACAAATATTTTCTCCTAGAAGTTTTTCTACAAGTTTTATTGTTTTAGATTCTACATTTAGGCCTATGGTTCATTTTGAATTAATTCTTGCAATATGGTGCAAGGTGAAGATATAAGCCTTTTTTTTTTTTCATATGGAAATCCAGTTGAAAAAGCCATCCTTTCACCATTTACTGATTTGAAATACTATTTCGATGCCATAGAGGCTTAGTTTTCTTTATGCGAAGGTTTTTAAACTATAATTTTCATTTGTTTAATCGATATAGGATCATTAAGGTAACATATTCCTTTCAGAATGAACTTTGATAATTTATAACTTTCAATAAATTTTCCACTGTCAAATTTATTGGCATGTAGTAGCTGTGCTTAATACTCTATAATCCATGTAATACCTGTAGAATCTATAGTGAAATCCTATCTCATACTCCAGATTTTGGATAGCTAAATCTTTTTTCTTTTTTTTTTTGTCCTGATCAGTCTGCCTAAAGTTTATCAATTTAATTGATCTTCTCAAAGATCAAGCTTTTAGTTTTTTTCTTTATTTTTCTGTTTACTCACTGATTTCTGCTTTGTTCTTTACTACTTTCTTCTGCTTTCTTGGACTTAACTGCTTTTTCTAGTGGAAGGGGAATCACTCATTTTTCTTCTTCGTACTATAATTTCTCCTGAGCACGTACCTGTTAGTGGCATTCCCCAAATTCTGATATGCTGTTTTCATTTTCATTCTGTTCAAAACACTTCCTAATTTCCCTCTTGATTTCTTCTTTGGTCCATTAGTTTAGAAAAATTATTTAGTGTCCAAATATTTAGGTATTTTCCAGGGTTCTTTTTGTTATTAACATAATTAATTCCACTATGGTCAGAGAACACACTATGTATGACTGGAATCTTTTTAAATTTGACCCATGTATTATGGCCCAGAATATGTCTGTCTTGGTAAATGTTCCATGTGTACTTAAAAGAATGTGTATTCTGTTATGACTGTAGTGCTCCATAAATGTTTGATTGATAGTATTGTTCAAGTCTACTATATATATCCTTGCTGATCTTCCATACACTTCTATCAATTGTTGAGAGAAGTATGTTAAAGTCAACTATAATTGTGAACTTGTCTATTTTTCCTATTTCTATCAGTTTTTACTTTATGTATTTCGAAGCACTGTTTTAAGTTTAGAAACATTTAGAGTCAATAAATCCTATGGATTAATTGACCCCTTATCATTATGAAATGACTCTATCTTTCTTTGGTATATTCTTTGCTCTGAAATCTAATTTGTCTGACATTAATGCAGCCACTCCAGCTTTCCTTTTATTATGTGCAGACATGCTATCTCTTTTTCAATGTTTTTACTTTTAACCTATTTATGTCTTTAAAGTGCATTTCTTGTAGGCAGCAGAGTTGACTTGCTTTTTTCTCCAATCTGACAATTTCTGACTTTTTCTGTCATCTATCATTTATTTTCTACCAATCTGTTCTTGATCTCTTTTTTCTTTTTCTGCCTTTAGAGTAATAATTTTTATAAATCCATTTTAGCTCTTTTTTACTTACCAGCTATTCTTTTGTCATTTTGTTATTTTATTTTTACAGTATACATTTTGGTATACCATTTCACATTTAGTATTAGAAACAGTAGTATAATTTTGTATCCCCCTTCCCAATCTTTATGCTGTTATTCTCATGAATTTTACACATTATAAACCACAACATATATTGTTATTATTTTTGTTTAAACATCCAATCATCTCTTAAAGTGATTAAACTTGTAAGAAAAAACATATTTTTTCATGTAGTTACCTAGCATTTCCAATGATCTTTGTTCCTTTGGGGTGGTCCATATTTTCATTTGGTATTATTTTCCTTCTGCCTGAAAAACATCCTTTAACATATTCTGTAGTGTAGGTCTGCTTGCAAAGAATTCTTTCAATTTTTCCTAGTCTGAAAATGTCTTTGTTTTGCCTTGGTTATTAAAATATTATTTTGCTGGGTATAGAATCCTAGGTTGTTTTTTTTTTTTCTATATTTCAACAATGTTGTTCCATTGTCTTCTCACTTGCATTCTTACCAACAACAAATTTCATGTCTTCTTTATCCTTGTTCCTCTAACAACCACTTTTTCTCCCTTGCAGTTTTTAAGAATTTTATCACTAGTTTGAACAATTATGGGCCTTGGTGTAGTTTTCTTCATGTTTCTTGTGCTTGGGGTTCACTGAGATTCTTGAATATGGATATTTCTAGTTTTCATCAAATTTGCAAGGTTCTCCACCATTATTCCCTCAAAATTTTTTCTGTCTTCTCTTTTTGAAGTTGTCATACAAGTTACTTTCATTTTGTTTATATGTTCTTTTCATTGGGGGATGGGAGTGAAAGGGTAATTTTTAAAAATGTTTTTCGTTTTAGGTAGTTTCTATTGCTCTCAAGTTCACCAATATTTTCTTTTGTAATGTCTAATCCACCAATAATCCCATACACTGTATTTTTCACCTCAGACATTTTAGTTTTCATATCTATAAGTTTAATTTGGGTCTTTTTTCATATATTCCATGTCTCTACTTAACTTTTTTAACATATAGAGTGCAGTTATAAGTTTTAAAGTCTTCAACTACTAATTCTATTATCTGTAACGGTTACAGTTTGGTTCCAATTGATTCATTATTTTCCTAATTATACATAATGTTTTATCCCTTCTTTGCATGCTTGGTAATCTTTGAATGCCAGACATAGCGAACCTTAATTTACTGGGTACTAAGAATTTCTAGATTTCTATAAATCTTTAAAACAGTTTGATCCTTTCAGGTCTCACTTTTATGACTTGTTAGGTAGGGTTGCAGCAGTGCTCATGCTAGGGCTAATTATTCCCTATTTGTAAGGCAAGACTTTCCTGAGTATGCTACACGATGCAACATGAAATACGAATTATGAGTTTCTTCCATCTGGCTGGTGAGAACAGTCACTATTTCTGGACCTGTGTGAGTACCAGGCACTATTCCTCTATTTCTTTCATATGGTTCTTTCCCAGACTTCAAGTAGTTTTTCACATATATTCACTCATCAGTACTCTGCTGAATATTCGAGGAGAACCAGAGATTCTCTCTGAGCAGAAATCCTTTCTGGGATATTCTGTACTATGAACTCTTAGCTCCATCTCCAACTCAGGAAGTCTGCTAAGCTCTAATTTAGTACCTTGTGTCACAGCCTGGGAATTCTCTTAAGGCAGTAAGCTGGGGCGATTGTAGGGCTCACATAATTTGTTCTCCATTTCTCAGGAATCACTGTTCTTTGTTGTCTTACCTCCAATATCAAGAAAACCACTGTTTCAGGTAGGAGGATAAATCCAATCTTTGTTACTCCATGTAGACTGGAAGCAGCATTTGATCACCAAGTTTATAAAAGACTACTATTATTTACTACTGAGATTATTACTAAGAAATAAACAGAAGTTTCCCCTTATACCTTTTATATTTAGTCATATTACTTATAACCTTATAAGCATTAACACTTCATTTTCTCTGACTTTTAAGTACAGTTGCATGATTCTTACTGATGATAAAAAGGATAAACATATTAAAATTGCCACAAACGTTTTTAATGAATTCAAGAGTGTCAATTTTGGGGAACCTTATTAACTTCATCTCAAAAGAACCAAAATAGAAAACATTATCCAACATGGTAACCAAGTAAAAACCTCTATAGGTTATTAAGGACATTTCAATTTAAAAATAAAACCTACATACACCTTTAATTAATCACACTATATTCTCACCTATCAAAAAGGGCCAAAAGTGTGAGTCTGTCAAAGTTAATGCCGATCCATAGCTGAGGCAGGATCCAAAAGCGATAATAATGTTTAACCTTTTGGGCAGCTTCTTCTGTTGGACCATAAGTAGCTGCCAGGTCTGGGCTTAAATCAATGTCTTGTTGCTCCAACAAATCTGTATCGATGGTCAATAGTCTGTTCAATCGAATCTGTGGAAGAGAGAGCTAAAAGAAAGTCAGCATTGTAAGGCTTAAAATATCTAATCGAGTCATGATTCAAGGGCTTACAGATTCAACTGCCTTACAGATTATCTACGCCTCCTTAATTCTCTACACGCATCCACTCCTTGTGGATATTTTAAGACCATTAAAACTACAGAAGGTTACGATAGGAAGTAAATTAAAAATAAAGTGAATTAACCAGTGGGCCTTTTGGGAAGATTTTAATAGGAAAATAGTTTGAAATCCATAAGTATTTGAAAGTTTATGACTGTTTAGCTAGTAAATCCATTAAGATCACTCATAGTGAATCATTGATGGCTTCTCTTCTCCCTGTCACATTTATGGTCTTGTCTCATTCAGCTATGAACTTCATTACTGTGTTAAATCTAAGCTCCTCTGCACTGGATTCAAAGTCTTCAACTCTCATTTCTTCCTAGTCTCTTATTACTGTTTCTGCTCTTTCCAAATCCCTCCTACCCCACCACTCTGCCTTCTCTTTTTTTGGCAGGCTGCTCATCTGATGCTAGACAGGAAATTACCACATTACATTTCTTTTAGCTTTAACTCATCCATTCATCGGTTTTTCCTTCTTCTGAAAGAATCAAGTTTACTATATCAAGCACAGCACCAGCCAGCATTTTCATTTAAAGGCTCCCACACATTTAACAGTAGAAAACAATAATC